TAAGATCTGTAATTAGATATTGGGTACAAGATAATACAGTTATCTTGTACCTGAATTTCCAAGATCTGTTAACATATCTGTACCTTGTATCTTGGCCAAGATCTTGCTTACAAGATGTTTGTCTAGGGCCGTAAGCATGATGACAAAAACAAATATTTCCTAAAAATCTTTCTATCATGTAGCATGGCTTTAAAATTTTTTTTACATAAGATCATCAAGACAGCCGACAGTCTCATACTGCTCGATTCATTTCAGAAACAACTCATGATGGCTTGTCTTAAACATGGACAATACTCTTTGTCATCTAATGCTCGATGTGAGTATGTTCAAATCATTATGGGAATTTGCAATGAACTCGAATCTGATTCGGCTCTTGGGGTTCTCGATTTGTTAAAACGCGCAATCGAACACATACTAAATTTGCCAAATAATCAAAATTCAAATGTCAAACTTATTGCTGTAACTTTTTGTTTTTTTTTGTCACTTCGATAGTAATATATGTTGGTCTGTCTCATCTCTTTTGTAGATACGTCAACACATCATCCTCGGTCGAAGAAAACGATCAGTAAACGGTCGTATACGATACAAATACGGCACGTAAGACGTGCCGTATTTTCCCTGTATAACAGGGGCAGTAATACGGCCGCATGTTCTATAGAATACGATAATATTACGCCGGTTTTACGGCTGATATACGGTGTCTGCGTATGGTCGCAATACTACCCCTGTTAAAACGCCTTAATTCGGCTTAAAACGACCGTTTTACGCCGGAATACGATACAAAAACGACCGTTTACGGTAATGTTACGCCGGTTTAGGGTGGTCCGTTTTGATCGACCTGGGATCACTCTTCTCAATGGTTAAGTCAATTTGATTTTTGCTCAAGCTGTTTCTGATACATCTGGTCAAATTCGTTATAAATCAAGACTTTTTTCATCTGTCTTTAAAAGTTTCATATCTTTATTTTCATTATATTGAATCAGATTTCTTTGTTGTTCATATCATGTATAATCAAATTGATGCTAATAAAATGGCCAAAAGTGTTTGAAATGAATTTAGCCAAGTTCTAAAAAATGGAATTACAAAAGAAGAGTTTCATTTAGCCAAGTAAATCTTTGAATAGATGAAAGATTTGTTAATTGATTATTGTATTGATGATGCAGCAGAGCGAGAGATTTTGAGTGTCAATCATTATGATTGATCTTATTGTTTTTGCTTTTCTTTTTCGTTGTTTTGTTTCTTAATAAATGAAAAAAAAAGAATGAATATATATATAATGACGTTCATCTTGATTGAATTTTCGATCTTAACGGTCATCTTCATAGTCATTTCTTGTTAATCTTAACTATATATAGGTCAAATGCTCACTAAACCATCACCATAAACAAATTATTTAACTTGAACGAAAATTAATTCTTTCATCTACTGATGCATATAACCACAACCACGGCCAGTATCAGCATCTGTTGTTGTCGAATCACGACCATAACCATCATCTATCACTATTGTTCAATCACATTGAAATTTATTTGAGATTGTTTGATTCCTTCTTTAAATAGAGAATATTCATATTCAGCATGTTTTTGGCTGCTTGTATCAAGTTAACTACTTGCATGCAATGAATAAACACAAAATTTCTAATTTCAATATTGTATTGACGATGGGTTCAGTGAACGTTTTAACTATATATAGTTAACATTAACAAGAAATGAATGCGAAGGTGACCGTTAAGATCGAAAATTCAATCAAGATGAACGTCATTACGTATGTATTCATTCATTTTTTTTCATTTATTAAGCAGTAAAATAATGAAAAAGAAAAACCAAAAACAATTAGATCAATCATAATGATTGACACTCGAAATCTTTCTCTCTGTTGCATCGTTAATTCAATATTGAAATAAAAACCTTTTTTTATTTATTTCATTGTTAAATGGATTGTTTTTGTGTAGAAAGAAATCCCAGGTCAATATTCAAATGAATGCTGAACAATCTTCGGATGTATTTTCAATGGTTGAACAATTAGAGCAAGAGAATTTTTCAAATGATTCGATTGATCATCTATCAAAGAAAATCTTTAACCAATATTAGTTTCTATTGAAAATCTTCAAACAATGTCACTTTGGGATGATTTATTGTATTGACATTGATCTTTTCATTTTTCATCTTTATCCAGACTTTGTAGAAGTTCCATGGAAAATATAAAAGAAGAGTTCAGTTAAGAAATAAATACTCGTTCGATCCCAAGATAGATTTTCTAGATTTTCTTATTGAAATAAATATTGCAGTCAATAGAAAAGGTCTCCAAGGAAATTCATATGATGTCTAACCTGTACTATCCATCATTATCATCAGTAGTGAATATGAGAGAGAAGGAGTTGACGTTGATGTCTTGGTTGATGAAGGGACTGAATTATTATCATTGATGTGGATAATTTTGTGAATGAAAAAAGTGTTTCAGGAAAATTTGATGAAGCTACCGGAGTATTAACTGAAGTGTTCAACCAAATCATTCAAATTGCTGATAAGAAAGAGCAAATGAAATTGATGAAGATGAGGAAATATTTCTATCTGAGAATTGACAAGATGGAATTGGATTCATTCGTTCGCCGTAAAACAAATTTCGAGCTGCCTAATTTAATTGAATCGTTGAAAAAAGGAATAAGTTTTGTAGAGAAAAATAACCATAGCTCTAATTTCCATTGAGTAGATATTAAACATTGTTTATGTACATCGAGTTGTTGTTACCATTTGATTGATTATTATCAAATGACCAAAAATTTCATTATTAATACTCGAACAATCAATTATTGTCATCTCTTCGAATAAAATTAATGAAACAATCTTTCCAAATTGACCGTCAAAATAAAAATACTATAAACACGTTTCTCTCTAAAGAGCCTTATCGACTGTGATCATCAATGTATAATCTGCATCTACATACACCTTTACGTCTGAGCAGATGATCAAATGTGTGTGTGTATGTATGTTGTACCCTCAATCTTTTCAGCGAAATGTCACCCAATGGTTGTGAGAAAGGATGATGACATTCCCCGCTTTTGCGTCTCGTTAGCAGTTTTTTTTCTTCTTCTTTTTCTATGTCGGTGAAGGAAAGAAAAACCTTTTCTATTTTGTCTTGTCAAGAGTTGATTCTTCTTCTCCTGGTCTGTACTACAGATGAGCGCAGAACAATGGTCTGCGGCAAAACAGAAAATTTGCTTTATGCCTATCTCTGTTGAATATCTATTTTAAGGCTTTAGTTGATTATGTGACGTTGATTTTTAAAACATAGAAGATTTTCTTCGTCTTCATTTAACTTGTGCTCAATGACGTTCAGAAAAGAAAATACAAAATCCATATTATTTTGTCGATTGAACTAACTATTGATATTGACAAATATTGATGATGAACGAGATTGATCATATACATATTTGATTTTCTCCTGATGCTATTATTCAATAGTTTCTCTCGGATAAATCACTCAGATTGATCAAGAATATTTTGTAAGTATCTCATCGTTTTTCTGCTTTCGGGAGAGAAGATTCAGGCAGATTGATTAGCTTCAATTGATATTCATTGATTAACCGAGAAACCTCTGACAATGGATGAGTTTTACATTGATCAATAGGAAAAGAAATGGCAAGACGATTCATCGATACAGCTGACAAGTTTTTTCCATAATGATTTCTCCTAGAAAACAAAACGATCAAAGTAAAGTTAGTCTGGAAAAGATCATTTTGATCTTTTCTTGTTACTTCTGATAATTATTTCAATCCAATTTCATATTCTACCCAATAGACTATGGAATAATTGTCTTGATAATCGATTATCTTTGAATCTTTTCCTGAAAATTTATTCATCAATCGATTCGATTATTATTGAATGAAAATGATAATCCTATTTCAATAGTTTCAGTTGCATCATCAACAAGTGATACTCAACAAGAAGCAGTTTGAATCTGGTCTTTAATGAATATTTCACATCAGAGATGAACCAATTGCCTTATAGTTCATACCGTGATACATTCAAGTTAGTATTGTGAATTCTTGTATTTTGAAGTCATAGGCCGAGTGTTCAAAAGAAGTCCTAGTCTAAAGAAGAGTCCGAACATCTTCAGAATTATTCGATCTAATCATTGTAGTAAAAGACATTGAAAATTTTTCTAGAAAAGTTCTCTTTTGTGTCTTGAGGTGATGCAGCTGTTCTATTAAAAATTAATCTACATTGGATTAACTGATATGTTAAGTGCTTATTTTAATAGAGAGAAAGAAGATCCTACCTCATATTTGGCATAGATTTCAGAATTAATTTCAATGGAAAATGAAATTGAAAAAGGATTCTCAAATCAATAAGTGTCTATTCATCGATGTGAAAATTTCAAATCTTATTCAGTGAAAATATTGCCGTTATTTTTGTTCTCCTTTTAGTGGTTCTCCTAGGCACATGTTACAATCTTCTTTTTTATTTCGCCTTCTTCGTATTATTATATTTTCACCAGCAATAATCCCCCTTCTTTAAACATTAACACTCACTTAAATAGAATAGATAAGAGAAGAAGAATGGAATGATTGTAAACGTGAGAGAATGAAACAGAGAGAAGAAGAGAGAACATACTTATGACAGGACAGATATGTCCTGACATAACACTTCCCTCACTGACAGAAAATACACACAGAGAGAACGAAATGGAGGACGAAAGGAAAAAACTCAGTAAAAAGTTACAAACCAAATGAAAAGATAGAACAAAAAATAATGTAAGAAACGATTAAATGAATTTGAAAGTGACGTAAATTGAAATTCAGCACATATAAGAAAGAAAAATGTAAGAGTACCAATATGCATAAGTGAAAAAAAATAATGATAAATTTAAACATTTAAAAATATATCAGAAAAAAACGAAGAAAGAGGCTAGCAGCGACTGGTGGCCACAACCATATTAACTATAAAGCGGACTGAACATGCACGTTCATCTCAAATAACGAGTTTTATCGGCATACAATACTATGGAACAGCTAAGCACCGGAACCAGTCGCGATCTTCTGTATCATACGGCATAACATCGTGGCAGAAATATGAACCTGCTGTATCACCAGTAAAAATTCGAGAGCAGGTGTTTATCACGGGACATAATTTACGAAGAAACAGAAAAAATGAGAAAATATCACTGTATTTTACATGTAATTTTAATGGATTACCAAATGCTTCAAGATTGTCACTAGCGAAAATATATTTATCGCTCATAACAGACGACGATAAGACATTGATACAATTCAATAAATTTTCTTGAGAAAATTTATCATCAATATTTGATGTTGAGTTAAAGGGTACATCTGGTTGTTTGGATCGAATAAATTGATATCGCTGCGGCAATTCATCATGAATGAACCATGTTTCGCATCCATCAGGCCAAACCATCTCACAACTGTTTTCATCACTTTCTACAATGCACGTATTGAGCAAGACAATATTATTTAATTCAACTAATTTAATGTTGCAATAATCTAAATGTACTTCTTTTTCTTCAAATAATTCGCAATTGTATTCCTCTTTAATACCATTATCACAATATAACATCGTTTTGTCTAACTCATACACGCACTCGTTTACTTGAGACATACCATCTTCCTTCAGTAATGTTGGCGCAAATTCTTTTTTAAATTCCTGAATAAATATTGGCCATGAATCCAATACGAACAAATTTCCGAAGAGCCATAGCCTGGCATCACTTTTTAGATACTCCGATATAATAAATGTTTTGCGATCGTCAGTATATTCAGCATAATTCAATCCATCTGTAATGTCTTTCAGCCACTGAACGGCATATTGGTTTGATTGCCACTGAATGCTGGTAATGTTTTCGAATGATTTAATAACATAACTAGCAATTAACCTTTTAACGATCTTCTTTGTTCAATTTGAAAACACTTAATCTATCTAATTCTTCATAAATCATATGGCGAATCAAAAACCCGGCTTGTGCACCATTTGTTACAATCTTCTTCTTTATTTCGCCTTCTTATTATTATTATCTTTTCACCAGCAATAATCCCCCTTCTTTAAACATTAACACTCACTTAAATAGAATAGATACGAGAAGAAGAATGGAATGATTGTAAACGTGATAGAATGAAACCGAGAGAAGAAGAGAGAACATACTTATGGCAGGACAGATATGTCCTGACATAACAAAGATGAACATCTGCAATCAATTGGAATTTATCATCTGCTTAGTATTCCACAGAACTATAATTAAAATCAAGTTATTTACTAAAGACATTTCTAAATCATAAAATATTTACTTATGTTTTATTTCAAAATATACGAACAGACGTTTATCCTTAATATCTACATAGATTGATAATCTATTGAAAACTCAGTGAAACGCCATTGAGCGTAAGCATGGATTTGAAATTTCTAGTATTCAATGTGTTACAGATTGATCTAGACATAGACAGAACCTCAAAATATACAGCTACTATTCATATACTACGAATAACAACCGATTCTTTTAGAATTGTACACTGGAGAATTTGCATGTCGTTGTTTTTGTTTTGAATACGACGATAGGTAATTACACAGTAAACTTACTACCCGCTATATTTTAGTTCATTGTTGCAAGGGTGCAGCTTTCAGTGAATTAATTAGTTCAGAAAAAAACATTGTGCCTGAGTAAACTCGATAAATTAAGCCATATTAAATTATATTTTTTTTTACGTAGGAAAAAGGATCATTAAAAATCATTATTTAATATGCTCGTCGAGTAGTTTCTATTTTATTTTTCCACCGATCTTACATATAACGATATGATACATTAGTGTGACGTCAATTAGTGACGCTTTTACTAATTAATTAATTGGCATAGAATGTGGCGCTGCTTATTGTTTGCTGAATACGTCCAACCAATTGCCGTTGACAAAGACTAATAATCAATTTCGGCAAAACTTTCGACATTATTTGTTTCTGCTTTTATATTCATCACTTTCATAGTCACTTCGTCGATTGTTGATTGATATGACTGAACCAATTCGTGTTGCTTTTAAGCTTGGTGGTACGAAACGACCTATTCTTAATAGTCTTGCATCATCATCTAGTCAATTTGATTCATCCACAACAACAAATAACGATCAAGCCGAGCTTGTCACTGGATTTGATAATGGTGAAATTAAAAGTAACACACTAGTTGTTACTAAAAAAGAACTTATTATTCCTGCTCAACCAAATGAACACCACAAATTTTTCAAACTTAAATCAAATCCTCCTCAAACTGCTGTGTCAAATCCAATACCATCAAATGATCCTGTCAATCAATTAGAAGAAGAAGCAAAACGTGCACTTATTCTCGAAGCACAACAAGTAAATGAAACGTGGGATCAACGAAATGAAAATGGAACGATTCGTGTACACACTATTGAACAAGATTCTACTAATACATTCATGAGTAATTTCGCTATTGATGAAAATATACCTGAAGAAAAAGATATTGAAAATGCTGATTATGAACAAGTACCTATTGAAGAATTTGGAATGGCTGTTCTACGTGGTATGGGCTACAAAGAAGATGCTGGTCTTGGTATATCAAATAAAAAACAAGTTGATGTATTTGTACCCTCAAGTCGACCTCGTGGTCTTGGATTGGGTGCTGATAGAAAAATTCTTGAAAAAATTAATCAATTAAAACGCAATTTAAAAAAATCTGGCATCGATGAAAAAGATGATTTATGTTTCGAAAAAGGAGCCTTTGTTCTTGTTGAAAAAGGTCTTCATCAAGATCTTTATGGTACAATTGAATCTATTGAAGAAGATGTCGCTCGTCTTTCGGTTGCGTTAGCTGTCGGTGGTACAAATAGGAAAAAAGAAACAATATCTATATCACAATATAATGTTAAATTAGTAACTGAAAAAGAATTTCTTAAATATAGTAAATATGTTAATAAATCCAAAGCAGAAAAAGTCGAAAAAGAAACAAGTGATCAATTAATGAAAGATTATTATAAACAAGACAATACTAATGATCATAAACGACATCGTCGATCCGATAAAGATGATGATACTAAACATCATCGTTCATCAGATAGAGATGATGATTACAAACATCATCGTTCGTCCAAGGATGATGATGATCATGATCGAAAACATCACCGATCATCAAAACATGATAGTTACGATAGAAAACACCACCATTCTTCGAATGGACATCGACATGAAGACTACAACAAATCTAAAAAACATTAATTTTTTTACTGTTACTTCAGTTTTTTTTATATGTATAATAAATATATACAGAGATTTTCTTGTTGTACTATCTCTATTTGTCTGTTTTCTTTATTTTTTAAATCATAGAGAATTCATCAATTGAAACGGCTCGAATAGGTATGCATCGATAAAACGTTAAAATAAACTGCCAATAGTCATCGTTTTCGATGAGTCATGTTATTTGAAAAATTGTACTAGTGAATATTGGTACGATTGTAATTTATCTGATAAGTAAAGCAAGATTTTAAGATTGAAGACGCTTTAATAGCATACCGACGTCAATGAATTTCTGTAGTCTTTAACTCTCAATTCAAGATCATTGAATTAAATTTGCAAACCTGAAATGTTGCTCCTCAGAAAAAATAGATTCTTCCATTTTGCAATAGTAAAGTTCCCTAGTTTATAAGCTTCTTATTATGAAGGGTAACATACCCGTAAAAAGTCTACTGCGTTAACCGATTGATAAGAAAGGTCAGAAAAGATATTGCTGAAAGTTTATTATATCGATTTGATTTATTAGAAGACGAATAGCGATGACTTTTCGATAATGATTGTCACATAAACTAATTTGATAAATTATTATTGACTTGAAAATTTTCTTATCTTTCGTAATTCTCATCAGTAGATCTCGGTAATGGAAATATTCTTTGAAAAAAAAAAAAAATTACGAAAATATCACTATTATGATTGTTTGACTCTTTTAATACTTGATTGCAAATTAATAAAATAATTGGATGGGCAATAAATCTTTAAAGATTTCGAATTCTTTCCTACATGTTGATACTTAAAATAAAGCTAAACTAAATCAACTAAGAAAGGTTCTCTTGCTAATCATAAGTTTTGAATTTAATCAAGTAAAAACGTTAGACTAATGCTGTAGCAATTAGTAGGAGTTATTCAAAAGCATAAAACTGTTTGCTCGTTTTTGTATGCATATTAATTTTTATATCTATTACGAAAATACAAATAAAAATGTTTTTACTAAGTTATCACATAGGACGAGATCTACATTTCGATGCGTCTATTATTTATGTGTACTATTGTTCAGACTTAGAATTGAAACCAAAGAAGTATGCAACAATCTTTAACATTGTTACCCACATATACTTCCAAATTCCTTGTGAATGACCGATTGCAATAGTCCGATGACTCATTTTAATAGCATTTATCGAACGAGGAATACAAAGATCATCGTAAGCTTGAACTGCTGTCGACAAATGTTTGGCAAGAATCATTTGTTCTGCTAATTGGTATCCATCCATCATAGCCATATTGGCTCCGTTGCCAGCAAATGGACTCATTGCATGTTGAGCATCACCAATAAAGATCACTGAACCGTGATTTCTGAAAGGTTCCATGTCTTTTGCGTTGAAGACAGAAACACTACTACGTAACGTCTTTTTGAAAAGAGTCGGCATCGGTTCACCGAACGATACCAAACGTTGATGAGCTTCACTGAGTACTTGTTCAATTTCTTCTTCACTCATTGTTCCAGCTGGTCTAGGTTCAGATGGTTTGTCTGACAAATAGCTGACACTCCACAATGCACTTCTTTGATCACTTGGTGCAACAAAAAGAAAATTTCCATTGACGCCTAATACACTACCCCATGTTTTATCTATAGGTGGTGGCAACTTTTCAAGAGGTTGAGTGCGTGCTGCGATAGAAACAGCTCCAGCAAACCTCAGCTCATTCTGAGATCGAATAGCTCGTCTACCTTTACTATTCGATCCATCAGCAGCAATGAGTAGATCACATTTTTCTTGATGACCATTCATTAAAGTCACTATAACTTGTCCATTTTCAAGCTCCTCAACGGATTCTATCCCATGATTCCAATGCACTGCAATCGATGGCGATATATTTTTGTGAAGTATTTCACGAAGTTTCGAACGTGCAATACTTGCAGTGGATTGTGAAAGGCCTTCAACAGGCGGAGATTGAAATTCAATCAATGGAGTAAAGTCATTGTTGAAGACTGTGAAATATGTGCCAGGATTACTTTCACCGAGTATCTGGTCAAGTAAATCCAACTTCTGCAGTATTTGCATTCCTCCACTTAATGGATCACTTCGAATAGAAAGCGAATAGCCTTCTCGTCCGATGTCATCCAATGATAGCTCACGTTCGTACACTACAATATGTGGCGGTGGATTTATTTCTTGATTATTGTTCTCGAGAAATCGTTGGAGAGCAACACAAAACGTTAAGCCACCGATTCCCCCACCAGCAACAATGATATATTTACCGGACAAAAAGTGTTGTTCATGAATTGTTTTCATTTTTAATTGACAAAGTTAACGTTTTTTGTTCGTCACGTATTGACGAGAATGAATATAAAACAAAACCTTACGACACATGGAATATGATGCAATGTGATATGCCTATTTGTATACGATGACACCAGTTCTACTACTTCTAATGTTATCTTTTCATGACATGTAAAAATACGCCGTATTCGTCATTACACGAACTTTTATCTTTAGACATGTTTTTAATCTATGAGGACTCTAACATTAGGAGCTGCAGGCCCCAAAGATAAAAAGAAATGGCCGAATCTGAAGGTGTTTTGTTTTATGACTACAATGACACTTGAATTGTGTTGGTCATATTGGTCAATTAATATGAAATAACACTCCTTTCATTCTTTTCTGGTGATGTTTCTATTTTTTTGTTGAAATTCTAGTGTCACACAATCTTGAACTAGTCATCTGATAATCACTCGAATATGTTGCGAGCAATCTTAAACAAAAATAAAATGGAAACATTAACTTTTAGTCCATTTCATGGGTAGCTGAACCTGTTCTAACACAGAAATCAGTTATTTTTTTTTCCATTTTTTCTTCGGTGCTTGATGTTATCACTATAATATTGTATTTACTAAATTAAATTTTATTTTTTTCGCCAAAATTTTCAGTGAAAACCACTCTACCAACTTTGAGACGATTGAAAACGTCTTGGACACTTTGTGTTTTTGTCATTGATTCATTTAGAAATCAGACTTATAGTGTTTTATTATTTGTGGCATATTGGAAAAGCCTTTTAAACTTTCGAAAGTAGGGTGTTGGTGTGAATATTACCTTTATTCGCGTGCACTTTATTTTAGGTGGATAATACGAATATAAATATTCACGAAACATGTGAAAGAAAATATTTTTATCCATGTCTATTCTTTCTTTTATTTTGTGATAAGATAGAAGTCTATCACCATGACTTAAGCTTAAAATTACTTTTAGTTTTCGAGCTTTCTTCATTTCTATACTTTTTGAATGAGTGATATTGTGCACAGAGAAATCATGTTACTTTTAATCTATATTAAACATTCATGAAGTTTTTATAACGAATGAGTTGTTTTTGAATATTTTTCATAATCAATATTAATAGAAGAATGACACAAAAAGGACTCCTACTGCCTGTGTGTATCGTATGATCGCTTGCAGTATAAAGGTAGACAAGTAGCTACTTATCGACGTAGATAGCTAGTCGTACGATAGTTAGTGAATATATTTAATGAATCTGAAGAATGTTTAGAATAGTTTATAGATGAATAAAAAGTAGAATATCGAACAGGTAGATGTGTAGCTGACTACATAGACAGATAGTCATTATAATTGAAACAACTATTGCTAGTTAGCTTAGTTGAACTTATTCAGTCGATACATTCTGCATGACTGTTTAGAGGGTTTGATTGATATGAGTATATATTTTTGGCTAAATCAAATGATTTATTAAGAAAACATTTCGCTAGTCATACCTTGTGCACACTGATGAGCATAGAAGCAAGATAATAACGTATAGATATAAAATTCAAATTCAAGATAAAACAAAACAGATAAAATACGAAAACCGAAGAAGGAAAATAATAGGCCACGCTGCATTGCATACATATAGACAGATATTTTAAAGTTACATGACGTAAAACTTCTTGTATTCAACTCGGGATAAGTAAATTTAAAATAGAAGAAGAAATTTAGAATATGCTCAAGTTCTTGCGAATGCAAAATAAAGACGAGAAAAGAAACATAGAGGAAATTCATGTATGCATGCGAAGAAGACAAAACGGGTCGGTAAGAACGCGAATAAAAATTAAACTTTTATTCAGAGCTGCATAGTATAAACGATGGAATGTACTACTGCGAAAAACGAAAAGCAAATAAAATGATGATAATATTCAAAGAAAAAAACTATGTTAACTATTTTGATGAGAACGCAAAAAGATTATTCGTTATCACCCTTTCATAGAATTTAGAAAGGGTTTTATTTTGTTCGATAATACCTTTTTGCTATTTTTCATAAGAGCGAATTTACGTTTGTACAGTCAATCGATTTACTTATTTAAAAAAACACAGGTGTATTCTTGCCATAGGAGCCTTCGAGGGATTGAAATAGCCAAGGATTTACGCCATTAGTCGGTTTACCCATGTAATAAAACTGAGACGCATCTTTACCATAGCCGCCACCTATAGATTGAAATGCCCAAGGATTTGCGCCGTCAACCTTACTGTCCAGATAATAAACACTAGATGTATCTCGAGCATAGCCGCCTCCAAGTGATTCGAATGATACAGTTATTGCACCTTGGATTTGTTTACCCATATAATACACATTCATAGCATCTTTGCCATAGCCACCGCCGATTGATTTGAATGACATGGTTAACGCACCATCGACTGTTTTACCCATATAATAAACATGGGCCATATCTTTGGAGTAGCCTGAATCTAAAGCATGCATGGAATCTACCAAGAATTGTTCTGATAGTCATTTTTAAGTAATCTCTTGTGTGACTTTTGTAAACCGTTAAATTTTTCTGAGAATGATGATTATGCGTCTGAATGAAATTGAGCATCTATTTGATTCTGTTTCTCTCAGGTTTAGATTATAAACGAGAGAAGAATGCAGTTAATTATTTTTTCTGGATACTCAGTGTCAACTATCCTGTAGATTCAAATGGATTCAATTGAAACTCTGCATAGTATCAAATTTTCTTCTGATAAGAGAAAAAGAACTAGTAGGTTCAGTGTACCCAAGTACTCGAGAAATGGATAGACACAACAAACTCAAACTTGGATTGTGGTTTTAGCCCTTTCTCTTATGATAATGAACTCAACATAATGGCGCATTTCCGACAATTTGGTTATTAGGCTAAATAAGTAACATACCAATATCTTGTTTTCCGCTAAGAAATTCAGGTGGTACATATTGCAAGCCTGATGGAGTACTAATTTTCTGTGTTGGAGGTACATTTTCTTTTTCTTTTTCCTTTTCCTTTTCCTTTTCTTTAATTTGATTATTCGGTGTTTCGATTCGATCATTCTGCATCACAACTTGACTGTGTGGTGGTTTTGTTGTATTTTGTTCTTTTCCAATTTGATCCTGAAACATTTTAATTTGGTTTTCTTGCGATTTAATGCGAATATTTTGTGCCCCAATTTGACTTTGAAGTGGTTTTGTTTTATTTTGTTCTTCTCGAATTTGATTTTGAAGTGTTTTTATTTGATTATTCTGTGATTGAATTTGACTTTTAAGTGCTTTTACTTGATTTTTACGTTTTTCTAACTTTTTCTTCAATTTTACAATTTTCGCTTGCTCGTGATTGATTGTTTCATGGCACTGATCATTTTTGTCCATAAGTTCTTTATTTGCAACTTTGATTTCGTCCATTTTCAATCGTAACGGTTCAAATGCACACGTGGTCAGATGAGTTCCTAATTGATATTGTGGCCCTTTCCATGGGCAATTAATATTGGCTGACAAGCAAGATACGTCAACCTGAATGAAATCAATCTTAGCTATTCGAATGGTCACGAAAAGAAAAAATGCTGGATACTATGCACTCTCATTTACTTATTATCAGTTAAAATTGCGTACTCTTTTTACTGCTTCGGCTAGAACAGTGAATACTTAATTGAGCTTTTTCCTATCACAAAATTTATTTAGTTTTTCTAATTAATGCTAAATGCTTTTCATGATCGCATAGATTCCTAATGCCTGTAATTAACTTAGTTATCATGGTAGTTTTTTGCATCAAAATCAATAGTTTTCATTGTGCGTGACTGATTATCGGTCAGGTTCAGTTCAATTTTTAACTTCTTTTCCTTCACTCGACTGCGATGCATATCTATCGAAATTGAGATTGCTTCATAATTATCTAAAGGTCTTTTTTTTTGTTACATGGAGCTCAACGTAAATTTAGTGACAATTTCTCATTGATAAACTAACATAAAATGGATGAAGTCATTTCTTTTTTCAGATCACTGCAAACCACCTTGAAAATATTTAATTCAAAAAGATTTGTCTAGTCGAAAATAATTCTAAGAGAGTAAACTTGATAGTACTTTCAGTGATTTGTTGAAATATATTTGCTGAACTAGTGACGCAGTAATATTATGAACTTATTTGAAGAAAGCATTGGAAAATCAAAAAGAATAGAACATTTAAAATATGATCTTCATGGTATTAGTCTTTTTCTCGTGACGAGTTAGCGCTTTTTAACTTGACTGCATATTGTTAACAGTGCTGTTCGTGTTGCTTTGTGAATAGTTCAGACAGAAAAAATTGACTTCAGCCTGAATCACCAATGAAATTCAAACGAATTATGAATCATAAATTGTGCGTAGCTAAAAGATATGAAATTGAAGAAACTAGAGCTTTTCTTCTTCTTTGTTTCAGTGTTCAGCAATAATTATTTTCTTGAGGATGAAGTTTTGCACAAGCAAATGGAATGAATATTTACCTGAGAAAAGTATTCACTGATCTTTTTTTTATCATTAGTAGTCGAAGTTAGATGTTGATAATTGTTTAAATTTAACGCAAATTTACCTTACGGCCACTGGATTTATCTTCAACATGAATCACATGATTCCAATCGATACGCGTGCTTGGCTCTACATTGACTACAATGGATGCTGGATCGCATGATTTTTCGAAATCACTTCGAAGGCGGCGAATTTTTTCACGTAGTTGTTCTATATTTTCTTCCATAATTCTATCTGAACCAAAGCTTTCGATAAGTTCTTGGTCCAGTTCGGTAAGTCCTTTCTTAATGTTGACTATGTTTTGCTGTATCATTGTATTAACTTCATCGCGCACTTTAATAGCTGCCCGACGAGTTCTGTCGACTGTAGTGTCATGCCACTTTTGTATTTCGGACACTAGAGATTGCTGAACTTTATTTGGTTGATTTAACTTGGTGATTTGTTCAATAAGTTTATTTCCTTGTAATTTAATATTTTCGAACTCTTTAGCCAAAATTTGCCGATGGATCAAGAAATCACGCTGGCAAAAGTGACCGTTACAACCAGTACATATGCGTACTCCTTCATTGCTACATCTCATGCAGGTATAAAATGTAGCCATTTCTGAAAAAAAAAGCAAACAGTGAGCTTGTATCTTTGAGACAACTATTGAGTAATCTTATTCAATCTTATCAACTCAAGTATCTACCAATAGTAGGACCTAAAACTATTACAATAACAGTAAGATGTGTGTTTTCAGATTTTCTACAGGGTCTTTTTTACTAACAGTATACTTGTGAAATCCCCACGAAACTAAAGAGAAATCGACGTAATTCACTGCAAAAAAACGTATTCTTTTAAAACCAGCAATAGTTATGATACTCAGTCTTTTACTAGGATGGGAGTGTAAGTACAATTATCAGGACTTACTCCAGAGATATTGTTACATCCGTAGGGATTTTCATTTGCAAACCCAAATGTCATCAGAGGAAGTTTTTGTTTTCTTAAAGAGCGTAGAAAAAAAATCTTGACACAGTATTTTTCTCTGTAGTAGACGAGCTATTATTTTATGAAATACTATCATTACAATAAAAATTGAAGTGCAGCGTGAGAATATTCATCTTTTTCTCTTTCCGCAACTCGATGAGCGCCTCTCAATGACCTTGTCAGCATGCTACTACTACTACTAGGCACTTTCACTCAGCGTTTTGAACATCGAAGACCTCATGTACGCATGGACTAATTTCATTATTTTATGGAATCAAGGAGAAAACGACGTACTTTGTAAGTTACTTGAATTTAAATTGGATTACTTAAGAACACTTCAAACTACTTTTTATTTCTCCTATGCAAATTTGAAAGTACTTCATTGTTGTCTAATATGTTTTAGACGTTAATTTAATGTACTTTATTGTAATTGAATTTTACTGTTTCGCCTTGTTTAAGGATTTCTAAGAAATACAGTCGTTATTATTTGTGAGTTATACTTTAGTTAAGCCGCAACTTATTCACTTACTGATGCTTTATACAGAAATTAAGAAAAATAAAATGTTCTGATGTGTTCTTGAATTTAAAACATGTGCTGTGAATTTGCTTGTTCGTATTTTTTTGTATAGTAATGCAGAGTAAGAGACTTTATTTTGATATTAAATAGTTTACTAATGTTGCATTTATAAATTATTTATAAACATATATTCATTTTCTCTCGTTTTCTCTCGCATGCATGAATGATTTTGTCACTTCAAGATTGATTTCTACTATGATAAGTTGGATGGAAAAATACTTCTAGTGACTCATGATGTTTTCATCTCAAGCACGTTATCAATAACTTGTATCTCAATTGAATAGACGTAAAATATGTAAAAGCAATCACGATGACGGAGGAAATGACTACTATCAATGATTTTACCAAAACAGTTAACATCATCGCGTGCTAAAATAATCGTAAACGCTTTCATGTAGAATGCACATTTATTTAAAAGCTGTTTGATCATTCTCACGGTGTTACCATCAATAAAATAGAGTTCAAAACATCAGAATTTTGCATGGATATTTGCAGTGCTGATGTTTGTTTCACTTTTGAGTATTTTGATTAGTGATACTGATCTTATCGAGGATCGTTCTACTGTAGCAATGTGCCAACGAAGAAATCATCAGTATTTGCTTTTGTGAACAGAAATATATACGGTTGCTATTGTTTTTTATTTGTGCTGAATTCTATTCGTGACATCCATACATTTTTTCGTGATTTTTGTACAATTTTTGCGGACGCTTACGAAACAAGTCGACAGATAGGACTACGATAACAAACAGAGAAAGGATGGCAAGGAAGAGAAAACGAATAGAACGAAAATCGAAGTCGCGGCAGTGATGACGCGGTTGCCGTGCATTGCTGTTCTTCCTTTGTTTATTCTTCCGATACTGTATATTTTGACTCCGAAGACACCGAGCCGGGGGAAAGAATCGAACCTTCTCCTGTCTGACTAAGAATCAGATGCATAGAACCACTACGCTATCCCCGGCTAATATGGTTGCTATTGTTTGTGTTCTCTTCACATGTACTTATCTATTACTGCTAATCAAACTATACTCATAATCATATTCACATTCATCAGAATGTATCGGGATAAATAGAGCAGATAGGTAAATTACAAGTACAATATTGATCCTGCTTCATTGCAATTTAATCGGGCAGTTATACTGATCAAGTGGGTAAAAAAGGGGTGGGAAATCTAAAACTTTCTCGTTATATTACTTTTAAAATTCATTTCAGGCAATATTTATTGAATCATGATATCATTACTGGGAAAGAGAATGATAGTCAACTGCGTTTTTTTTTAATTCCAAATTTCTGGCCATTGAAAAGTTGATGATGACATTTGCGCCCAGTAAGCTTGATGTTCAAATGCTGTCCAAGCTATTCGATCTTTAGTAAAAAATTCATAATCTCCTGATCTTGCATTGGGCACAATTTGCCATACTAGCCAGGGTAGGCCCTGTTGATGTGCTGTTGCTGCAATTCTATTCAACGCTTGAGCCATTTCTGCGTCACCACGTCCACCGAATTCTTCCACATAAACTCTTTTCCCGTATTGTTGTGCTAATTGAATCGCTTCTTGAAATTTTCCCCGAGAATAATCTTCATTCGTTGTATAGTCATGTAAAGATATTAAATCAAGTGCAGAACATTGAAAATTTTCAAGACGAAGACTTAAACCAAAATCAACATCACCACCTGTTGACAGAAGCACTCCATTATTTACGAATGACCGAATTTGCGTATTTATATCACACATCCAACGAGCATTAAATGTTGACATGTGACCTTGACTCTCGTTTTCTATCTGAAACGAGAATATAACACGATTTAACGATCCCCATCGTTGTACGAAATGTGGATTAACATGATCTAGTAAATATCTCAATCGATTAACAAAATCCGTTTTAGCTTGTTCGTTTGAATAAAATTTCGATGCGTCATTTGGTGGTGAACATTCACTTGCTGTTGGTATTCCATATTTTGATACATAGCTATCAGCTTTGTACGCATAACATCCTAGAGAATAACGATCATGAAGAGCTATTATTAGTTTAATACGTCCAGCGCCATAGAAATCAATATTCCTTATAAATTGATCAACGCGTGTTAACATATCACTATCTGTGTACGGTGAACCTGTGCGGTATCTTTCGATATCATTGGCTGCTATCGCACGTGAACCTGCTTGACCATTGTCAATGGTCGCTAAAAATATTCGTATGACACGAACATTTTTTTCACGTAATGTATTAATCAATGTTATTTGATCATCTTGAGGAAGAGCCCATGCAAAAAATGAATTAGCACCTGACCAGCTGCGATAAGCATCTATAGTATGCAAATGTTTATTTCTCTAATTGATCATAAGACAAGAATAAATGTTTACCAGTAGGTTGACCATGTGCAGAGTAAGAGAATACCAAAAGGCAGACAACAATGAAAAGCATTTCTTGATTAGATTTCTCAATTTACAAAATATATTTTATCATCAAGAAGAAAACAAATCTATTAAGCCTTTCTTTCAATTGGTATAAGAGAAAAACAATTACATGCGTTTCATTTAAAGCAGATTCGATTTGATGCTATTGTATATGTGCAATGCACACATCCTCGTCGTACAATAATATCGTTGTTTGCTTGAAAAATATCGTAGATATCTTGTTCATAATGACAGAAAATGGTTTATAGAGAAAGTTTTTTCGAGTATCTACTAATTATCGATAGATCAACCAGTTGCTAATAGACTAATTGGTGCAGATATAGACCGGTTTCATAGTTCTACGTTTATTAAATTTCACGCAAGAAAAATCTATCAAAGAAAACTGCTAGTATAGTCCTTATGGGATTGAAACTTGAAATCTAATCAAATTTTCGATATTTCAAAGAAAAGCGGATTAATCACAATATGGTTCAGCTTATGAATTAATATTTTCTGTTAACATAATTCAATGGTGAAGTATATTAATATCGATATGTTGAATATGATCTGAAAAAAATATGTTCACATTACAAGTCAACGATCGATCATATACAATCAAGGAATACATTTCGTCTTGACGAGATTAGATATCAATGAGAAATATAATATAATAGACATCTTTTCAAGGAATCAAATATTTCTTTGATTCTCTTACTCAATTCATAAAGCATTCACCTAGAATTTATTTTAAGTCTAGATATAACATAAGCTATTATAAACCGAAGAAACTTAGAACTCAGTATCGAACGAATGTATCCTACTGTGATGATTTTCATTCAGCGATGAATTTAACATTTCGACGAAATTTTAAATAAAAACAATTGTAAAGTTAGTTATGACACTATATTTTAATTAATCATGGGATAAAATTGTTAATTAGAAGTTTTCATGACATAAGTAATGAGTACCTATCAGGATTAAACAGACCCGTATTTGTGCTCGGCGATGCTGATCATTGTCACATGACTCTTTTGAGCCATAATCGAGTGATGTATTGGACTCCATTGCACACATGTTCAAAGTTAATAAGATGCCAAACAACTCGTATTTCTCGAACCGTCAGGAGCTTATTCTTTTTCTATCTTTAGGAATGAGTAGTCGTTTTTCTCATAACCAAATTCTCGTCACAATATCGAAACTACTCTCAAGAAAACTAGAACTAGTCAATATAATCGACTTTTTTCTCTTATTAATCTATATTGAATTAAATAAAAACAAATATTGAAATTTACATCGTGATTGTTTACTATACAAAACACGTCACTTTTCGAACGCAGAGTCGGAAACAAAAATGAATCCAACTCATATGATATGTTTCTATATTTAAGTACTACTTCATCAAGTAACATCATGCGATTATATAAAGCCTATCAAGATGTATACGTTAGAATTTTCAATATCTGGTATTGAGAAATCCCTATTTTGGTGTCTCTCAAATCTAAACATTCCAGAATTCTCAAATTTCCTAAACGACTATTGCTAACTGTTTTTTGAGATACCTATTTGAGCAAAATACTCAAAATTAGATGATGATGGCGCCATATAATTCGACTAAAATCATCCTTTTGAGATTTCAAAACTGACCGTGAACTTTTTGTACCTGTCAAAATTAGGATGCTGGTTATCCTAATAGCAGATCAGAACAGAAAATCCGGAGTCAAAAATACCTGGTTTTCTCATGAGACGATTTTCATCTCTTCAATTCAGTATTTCCAACTATGTAACTCAAAATTGAGAAATCTTCGTAGTGCAAAATATTTATTTTACTGCGAAACCTAAATTTTCTCAACAAGGAAATATCTAGTGTCCTTTGATTAAAAAGAATAAGCTCCTGACGGTTCGAGAAATACGAGTTGTTTGGCATCTTATTAACTTTGAACATGTGTGCAATGGAGTCCAATACATCACTCGATTATGGCTCANCCACCGCCACCACCGCCACCACCAATTCCACCACAGCCACCAACATCACCACAACTATCACCCCCAACCACACCGGATGAGTTTGTTAAGATAGTTGCAACAATGATTGCACACGAACTTATATATTGCGTTTCGCGTAATCTATCCACGGAAACGTCTTTGCCATAGCTAACGTTGTAAGTCTGCATCCATCGGTCAGCTGTTTTCTCATAGGCATCCTTCAGTATATTAGCTTCAATTGCGTCATTATGATTGAGAACAAAACCACATAAAGCTATACATGTTTTTCTATAGGATGATGGAAATCTCATATGTGTATGCCATATTAAATCGACATCAAATGTCGGCACAATCATTTCTCCTTCTCTGGCTAGTTTCAAAAATGAAATATAATTTTGTACCATTTTTTCGAAAGAATCTTGAAAGGATTCGCTCAAATTCCTTGAATAGATTGGATGTTGTTTAAATTTTTCAAGAAAATCTCGTTGTCGAAGTACGGCACTCTCTAAATCAAGTGAAGGAGTAAATTTTGTTGGATTTGATTTTGATTTGGACAAACGAATCGCATGATTCCTATTATTTTTTCGTATTCTTAGCCTTGTGTATTTTTTATCGAACAGTTCATCTTGCGGCCATAGCGTTGAAAAATCTTTATGATACTCAACTGGATGAAGACGGTGAACATGCCAAATCCATTCGATTTGCCATGGAAGCCGCCGTTGTTGATGCCTATTTGTAATCTTTCGGTTAGCAAAGCGTCGACAATAATCTGCGATGAAATAATTCAATGTTTCTCCTGGTTGAGTCATTTCTGGATGTACTGCCACTTGACGCAGCAATACAATATGATCCACCAATGCATGATACGTGAATTTAAATGTCTTTCCATCTTTTGTACGAATATTTGCGCAGTGGCGCGGTATTGACAAGGAATGTGAACTGCCCATGTGTAATTATTGTCTTTTGAAAACAAACGTCATGTTTATTTTTCGATATTAATTTTTTCTACAATAACAAAATTCTAATCGATGTTGTTTAAAAACAAAATAGTGGATCAGATAGAACTGCTCAAATTAAATAACTCTTATTGACAGATTAAGTTGTGGACGACACTGACGTATTATAAGCCGGAAAAAATTACGAAAAGAGAACCTCACTAGCATAACAGTTATTTAATAAAAGTATATTATTCATGTAGACCTGCATTCAACGTATGCATACTAATGACTGATGATTCTAGTTATGAGAGTGTATTATAAGAAAAGATGAGCGAAATTATTATCTTGAGCAATGCAATATTTTGAGAGAGAACGATCGGTTGGAGTTTAAAATTTTACAGTACTCTCAAATAGTCATAAAATATATTTATATACAAAATTTAAGTTTAAAATGATCTCTACTGGAAATTTTTTGAGCAAGCTGCCACAAATTAAAAAGATTAGGTAGCAAAGCTATCATCTTAAAAGCTAAGTTATAGTAGACAAGTATTTTGAGCGATTTCCTACTTGTAATGATTGATATTTGTGGAAAAAATATCGTATCGATTGATGATTAAAAAGCATTTAGCATACGCTATTTATCTTGCATATGACACTATGATGATTTACTTCCTTAACAGCACACATGATAATGAGAAAATTTTCCAACTAATGATACATTCATTCAACCATGACTACCCATTTAATAAATACCGCGGTTTACCGCAAAAAATGATCCGGTATTCGCAACATGGGTATAATGTCGTGAATCACGATAGCATGTGAGGAATCTAAATATCATGGCTAAAGGTATATTGCGACAAAATAATCCAATCCATCGCCACGTATTTTTTGTTGAATACAGATCGCATGATCATTATTTCGCATAAAAAAGTTAAAACTACAAGAGCAACCTTGAGCAGATCTCTCCTATTTAGAAATTTATCTAGAAACGTATGCAATTTTTAAAAATCGTAATTGTCTCCAATACTTCTTTTATGTTTACAGTCTTTTCATCACTGATATTGCTTATTATTTTTATTCACGATAAGTCAGCAATATATTTAGGAGCAATCAACATTATGTAGAGGGTGTGGGTGTTCTTCTAATCAACACCCACACCCACACACCCTGGTCATACGAATGAAAGTACAAATATGTAAAATAGCTTTTCGATGCGAGTCTGGTCTACCTAGATCATGGTCATGTGGACTTGTGTTGCAACTTACAAGAATGTGTATACAAACATGATAATATATAAGATAGAAACATACTATAATATTTTATTTTGTTGTACACTCAAGTGAATCGAGAGACAAAAAATAGGTGTGCCGTAGAAAGGTCGAAAGGAAAAATGTCGAAAAAAATATAAAAAGAGAAAAACGTCGAACAATACATTTTACCACAAAAAAAATGTCAAAATTCGAAATAAACGAAATAGTGATGTCTACAGTAAATGATGATTCCAAACGCGAATAATTCATGTTTTCTTTTCCCATAATTCTACTAGTCTAGATTTTGCACCTCTTGTAACAGTGATGATTAATATACTTCATATAAATTAAATAAACAACCCCTACATAAGAGTAAATAAATAACTAAAATTCTACCATTATGGCTACAGCTGTCGCATCTTCAGAAGATGAAACTCAATCAAAGTCACCAACGATTTCATTTATTAATTCACAAAAAGGAAAACAATTGCTAATAGTAAATGAATATATTTCGATTATCATATGTTAGTATTAACGTACACAATGAAACATACTTCTCTCAAGTCAGAATTCGAAAACACTCTTTTCGATCATTTTCTACAACAATATATTTTTTTTCGACATGTTTCCCCATCGATTTTTCGACGTTTTTCCTTTCGACCTTTGGACGGCCAACCAAAAAATACGATGAAAGTAAAATAACAAATAATCACTTTTACACCTCGTTGATATTCATTCTTCATAAGCATTCAGATCCCCTAGTTACTTTTATTATCATTCAAACTATTTGAACTAGTTTATATGTGCAGTATATTTAGCCGGTCATCTATAGCTGGATGTTTTCTTATGCAGATTTTTCTTTTCTATATGTTTTTATTAAAATTTTATTTGATGACGTTTCGTCAGCGAATTCGAATTTATCAGTATGCTTTTGTTACAGTACATCGTAAAAGATAAAATGATGTCTATACAAATATATGTCGGTCAATATTGAAGCAAATAAAATGTTGCATAATACTGAACGATGTTATTTCGTTGAGATGCTACTTCGCATTCATTCAATTGCCAGTTGAATAGAGAGAATTTATCTATTTATTTACATCAAAATGTGCATGTTATACTTTTTACATGATTAAAGAATGATTTATTGGAGACAATTCTATTAACGAATCGTCAATAGATTACGTTTAAAAATATGGAATAAAACATATATAATTCAAATTGGTTTTAGTCACGACCTACGATTTATTATTAGTTGTTTTTTTAAAGAATATTTCACAGATAGCAAGTTAATTCGTTCTGTTTCTGGATCTAAAAATTGTCTAGAAGTTGAATATGTAGAGCAAAAGCTTTCAGTGTCTCAAGTAAGGAGATGTATCTACATTTATGTAAAATGGCAGACTGTTCCATAATTATCGATCATCACCGGCTGTTTACAAAGAGGAGATCGCAATGATAGTTTTACATGGAATATTTTGATTGATAGTTGCAAAGATTTGCTGAAATATGATTTGAGTTTCTTTGTTTAATTTTTAGAAAAGAAGCAAAAGGAAAATATAAGCGTCTATTCAATCATCTGCGCTACTTATTCTAAGAACAATTTCTACACCATAGGATCAAATTATTAAGACCATCCAGCAACCTTCAACGAACTTCATCAACGGTAAACATAACAACTCATTGTCATTTTCGACTCTTAAGCATGTTTTTTCAACTGAAGAAGAAAACCTGGGAAAAGTCAGCTCTCCAAAAACGGTTAATTCTCAGTTCCTTCAGCAGTTTTTCTACGTATTTCTAGAAATTTTTCTTCAATTCGTATGAGCAAACCGGTAAAAACTTATAGATTCCAGTTTGACCAAGGAAAAATGAGAAGTTTATAGTTTATCGTTAGAAAGTCTTCTTTGGTAGCTATACAATGACAGTATATAAGATTGAATCAGTTAACAGTAGAATTTAGTACTATAAATAATCTATTAAATGTGTCCTATAGTGCTATTTTAGTCCATTTCTGAATAAGACTCTAAAGCTTCTGGTGGTGGAAACTTTTACGTCTACTAAACATTGAAACATCAACTTTGAAGAATTATTTTCTTTACTATACGAATCAACGTTACGAATCGTCTCAACCCAATCAATGTATTGTTTAACATAGAATTCGAATTCCTCACAATTCATTCCCCCACTCTCTCACATATCAATTTTTCCCTAAGAAAAACGCACGACTCATCAGCGATTGGAGGATTATGAGTGTTATAATTTCGATTCAACATAGAGCAGCAAAATTTTGTCGAATTCGATGTTTTAAATTATTGATATTCATAATAGCGGTGACTAAATTGATTATTTATTTTGATTTATTTCAATTGTCATTCAAGAATGAAAAGGAGAAGATGATACCGACAAAAGATCTATTTATCACTAATAAAACAATAATATACAGATCAGTAGCGACAGCCAATGCTTTGCAACAAAAAGTCTTCGACTTCAAGAGCTTGAGTGAAATTGGATACAGAGAATCGAATTCGAATTCAACAAAGCATCCTATAACACTAATGAATAAAGTTTATCAACGGTCTGGATTTGGAATAGTTTGTTTTCTATATGATGATGTGAACCAACTAAGCATTTTTATGTGAAAGAAGTATTACAATCAGCAGAAACTTATTGCAAAACTGAACCAACGCTAAGAATGGCTCTTATCACTGCGTACTTCTTCATTCCGTTTGAAATGGTTTGCTCGTGTAGCGCTTCTGAAAAGAAAAGAAAAGAAAAATAAATTATAATTATATTCACAAATATTACTTCAATATAAGACACTTATTTTTATCGGCTGTACTCTCAATCGCTCAGATTCTAAACAGATATATGATAATTTCGATAGGCTCTATAAAATATTTCTCTATTCAAATAACTTAAAGGATGCTGATGCATCGGATTCTCTTGCTAGATACTTTGTGGCATGAAAAAAAAATATGATATACAAGGTGCACATGGTTCTACATTGAGTGAAATTGAGTAAATTTTGAAACCCCGCTCGGCTATTTGTCATTGTTCCATGCAGTCATATGCAAGTCTTCAAGATGAAATGAACAATGTTTCTAACGAGGTGAAACGGTACGGACGACATACATAAATATTCACCAAAATATATTGGATATGTTTTCTTGGTAGTGTTGTTCCTGAAAATGATGAATGTAAGTTATTGAAAACTTGAATAAGCTATATCATAAACGATTTTTTAAAATTTAAATCAAACATTATATTCGTACTAGTTCTATACTTCGTATTGTTTAAAATATGGATTCATTTTTATACTGTAACGATAAAAATCAGAGTAGTGGTGATAGTATATTTCATTTTGTGATAAATAAGTCCTGTAAACGACGCGAGATAACAAGTAATCATTATAGAGTCATGTTGACTCACACATAGAAATAGTTTAATTTATCTTGTCTATTTGTTGTTAGATTCAAGAGCAAACTCTAAATGTTATTTTCATCTTGTTGTGAAAGAACACTCCTACGTCATATTTTGTCTCTTTATTTTTTCTCCTACTATTGTTATCAATGTATTAGTAGCCTATAAAATGACACTATTAGAGCCCATTGTATAATCAGGTTTCTTCATTTTTCATCAATAACTCAAGAGAATAGCTAGGTATATAACTGCATAGATGGCAAACTCAAATAGATTAGGATTGGTCTCATGTGGTCTATTTGGACTCGCCTGTCTTGCATTTATTCTAAGCAATGCTTTGCCATCGTGGTAAGAATAATAATGTCATATAGTTTTCAAAATATTTTAAGGCTAAACACCAAAGATTAAAGTAATAATATCGAAGTAAATATGAAAGTGTATTGAACGAAAAACTCGCATGAAGCATTTTTCAAATGTAGCGCACTAACACATCAAATTCCACAAGAATTTTGTTTTTGTCATTAGGTTTCTCAGATAGAAATATCTTTTAAATGTATTTTGATTATTTGTTTACTGCAATATTTTGGCGGAATGAACACATTTTTTTTTATTCCTAGTAGAGTAGTGTCAATATTGATGTTTATAGGTCAAACCAAGAAGACACAATGATGTGAAGTTTCATATTTGTAAAAAATATCAAGGTGAAGTTTTTATTGTTCTATGGAAACCAACAATTTTATCTATCCAATAACAGATAAATAACAAACGAGAGTCTTCCAAGAACTGACAAACACAAGAACCTCTTTCTAAACTCTTTTTACAAATTCATGAATACTTACATTTTAAAAAAACATATAATTCAAGATAAACGATGTGGATACTAATGATCAATTTCCATTTACTCGAAATACTACCATTGAGAAGTTAATTGAGACTCTGTCAAGAAGGAATTCTTGTTTCTTAATTTTTCGATACTGCTGAAACTTTCTTCTTTTGAAATAATGGTTTATGTTCTTTTCATCAAACAGGAACAATTGTCTATGCTTTTTAGGGCTGTAGTGAAATTAGGCGGCGTAACAGCAGGAGAAGGTGGTCTATGGCGAGAGTGTGTGAAGTTTGTAACAACCACTTGTGTAAATTTTCCATTAGGATGCACTGGAGTGCCCTCATCAAGCATAGGTAGATGTATAAAAATAATCATGGCTCGATTGTTCGTCACCTTCGCATGTATATTGTCAGCATTCGGTGCTCTATTCTTATTAATGGTTGGCATCTCACAAAACCCTAATGCAAGTTTTATTATGTTTGGGAAAGCTTGCGCCGCTGTATCGTTCACTTCTGGAATTGTTGGCGTTTCATTGGGTATCAGCTGGGCCATGTATGGTGGCGGTGTAACAGTGGGTGCTGCAGCTATCTTAGGAATTGTTGGGATTATCATAAGTTTTATTAGTACTGTTTTCGCTGCAATGATCCCTAAGAATGAAATACAAACCAGCTACACATATACGAACACTTAAAGCAAGACTGTTTATTCTATTTGCATGATAAAATAATTACATCTTACATCTGTTAATCAAAAAGAAACTACCAAACGCTTAATATCATCACATTTTAATTATATTGTTCTTTTTTTAAATAAAAGGAAATCCAAGTAGATCTAAGTTATATTTTACTTGCGATTATATCTACCGAATATGAATCGGTCAGGATAAATGCTTCAATGAGACTATTAAAAAATATTGTTCTTTTATAGGATGTCGTATCACGTAGTGTTTGCTTCTTAGACTACAGTGCAGCATGAAGCCTTTCGAATCTGTATGTGTTATGGTTAAGTCAGTATTATTAATAAAACTCACGTGAATGCTCATTAAAAATGAGAGTTTCGCACACCGCTTTCAGATTTTGCTACACGAAAGAATTGTGCCCGGAAGTAGTCGGTTTGGTCTTGTTCACGTAGAACGTTTGAAACCATACAGTAGAGTGGTATATGTTCTATGTGAGTTTACTTAACATTGTAAAAGCGTGTACTGCAGGAAGAGGCTGTGCGGTGGGTTCTATACCGCTCTATACCTACTTGTAGGCACCGTTTGAATTCAAAAAAAATCTTGTGTTCCTGGTTTATTTGCAATTATGCTTTAATCTGATCTTATGAGTATCATAGGACCGATTATTAACGGTTGATTATCGATCGTGAGTCAGCGAAACACTCACTAATTCACGTTCTACATTATTTTGAAGAATATTTTGGATCGTATAGAAATAAATTTATACAATTGCAGCATTCATGTCAACTGTGGAATAGTACTTTAAAAATGATGTAAGCTTGATAAGCATTACTGTCCACACTATTTGTGTCTTTGAATATTAATAATAAAAATACTATTGAATTTCTTGCTCTGCAATAAATGATAATTTTGCCATAATCATTGAACTAAAATTGTTAAAGTTTGAAATTCTAGTGATCTATATCTGCTCTTCGATATTATAGAAGATGAACAATATTCTTTAAATTTGAACCATTTATGAAAAAACGATTTATAGAAATTCTGAGAAATGAATCTTTCGTTATATTCAAAACGAATCGAAGTACAATTTTATGTACTCGAATAGCACAAGATGCGTGCTCTTCTCAAAGTTGATTTTTCTAACAATAGAAATCAACTACTTTTCTTCATTTTGATTACAACTCAGAATTTAAATTTCCGTACTTGACGGATTGATTTATTTGGTCTCGATTCATTTGTTTGATCCTATAAATAAAATATTCTGAATAAATCTCAAGTTGAACTTTTCATCAGTGATGATCGCTTTTATAGTTTAAAGTTACTGAAAAAAAAATGAAGAGGGTGTAGGTCAGGGTGGTCAGATCTTTTGAAAAATAGGGAAAAATTGTGAATTTTGAACATGTTTCTGATTTTTTTTCTGATCTTCTGATTTTTTCTGAATTTGGAATATATTCAGATCCTGCTTTGCCAATGAAATTAGGTACGATTATAGCCCATCGCTATAATAAATCAACAGTGTTTCATCAATTTTCTCTATTAATCATCTTTTATATTCCTCGTTCGAATTCTGGCGTCGAATTGATTTTCGGTCATGTAAAGCATTTATAGTCCGATTATCGTAATTCGAGAATATAAAACCAGATAATGCTTAACTTAAAATAAAAAAATGAATGGTAATTATTTGTGAGAAGGTTTTATTAGTATATGTTATCTTAAACAAACTGCCTAGAGCAAATTCCAAAAGATTCGAAATATGAATAACAACACCGAGATGATGGGATTTAATACTTTTTTTCTCGTTGGACTTCTTCATCTACGCAGAATGTATTTGATTTAGTTTTGCTCGTTTTTATGAACGCGTTTTAAATTTACAACGAAGCTCAACATTACGTATTTTTTATTGATGTCTTCTTATTAGCTAAACGATATATTCACTATATTGTCTTTCGTTTTATTGAAATATCTTTGAAAATAAAGTTCCAGTCAATGAACAGAAACGCAGCAGAACTTTGGATGTCAGTGTTTTAGCGAAAGATGTGCTAATTTGCCAAAAACTGCCATTTTCTGATTCATTTTTGATCTGGTCACCCTGATGTAGGTGATGATGAAGAAACAGCTTGTACCTCTACATTCATCTTCATGTTCATATCTAATCAGAAGAACAACAATGAATCTTACTAGTCAGTGTATGAAATTTCGTTGTTGTGTAGAAGTAACACACACGCAATCTCATCTGTCGATTGAACAATTATGTTTTTATTCTATCTTCATATTAGTGGAAATCATATAAAATCAAATCTACCTTCGGTGTATATTTTTTAATTGCCATTCATATGATGACAACCATGTCTCTCAGAATGACTTAGCGATTTTATAATGGTCAGAAAATAATTCAGCTTGCGATTAACTGATATACAACGTATCCATAATTTTAATTGAGGACAAGAAAACTTCTGAAATTAAGACAATTTCAAACATTAGAAGATCTATTAGTAGTATTACGCGAATTTTATTTTTGTAAAAACTAAGGCACACTAGTTTATAAACAAAACAAAAGTATCATCGATTCTATGTGTACTCCTTAAACTGAACATGAATAATGAAATCGACTGTTTTTGAAAGAATTTAAGAAGCCGATGTACATATACAAAGAATAAGATGTATATATAAAAATATAGATATATTTATTATTAACACAATAACTCAAGAAATTGCTTTTTTTTCTAAGCAGATACAATCTTTGTGCAGTAAAATTCCGTTGGAAAACCATTTTAAAATGCCTCACTTGTTAAATATTTCATTCAATGTTTGAAATAAAAGTGTTTTTATTTATTTTATTTCCTAAATAGTTTAGAAATACGAAAAAGCTCACATGCTTGTAAAATACTTGTCATAAAACAGCACACTTAAAATCAACAAAACAGAAACCCATAAAGCATGAAATGCAAGACCACTCGGGTAAAGTTTTTCTGCTTGATAATCGATCATTTTCGAATGATCTACATTTGTTTCACCGTCGGATTTTAAAGATTCAGTCTTTCCTTGATCATTACCATTTGATTCACTATTCAAACAATCTATATCATATTCATAGATTTTATCATTGCAACTAAATGCCCAAAAATCACGAAGTTCAGACAATGAACGTGGATATTTGAACCATTCCAGTGCTTTTTCAATTGAAACAAAATAAACATATCGATGACTGGAACTATTTAAAATATATTCAATAAAACGAATCAAAGCTTGAAGACGTAAATTGTTGTTCTGTTGAGAAAGCAATGAAAGATCAAGTTGAATAATGAAAGGCGATCGATAGCCAATAGATAACGATGCATGACGTTCAAAATTATGCAAAAGAAAATGAAATAGAAGGTCAATTGAATGTGGTAGATCAGTAGGCAAACATGATGAATCGAATAAAGTACGACAAGAAGTAGTAGCTGAAAATAGAAAAATGTTCTCGTCGATAAATATTAACATCGAACTTTTAAGTGACAAAACGAATCTGTCAAAGTGAAATTAATCTAGGAAGTTGGCGATAAATTTTACTATTTTTTTGGTTATGTAAGTTTAATTATTCTATTCTCACCATGTGTGTAAGTCCATTCATGTAATGGAAATTGCCAAAGTGCTTCAAACGATCTATTCCATTGTTGACAATTAATACAATCAGTTTGATCAAATGGATAATCAAGTGTAAATGGCCACATTAAACTCGACGATTTAAATAACATCGAGGAATCATAATGAAAATGAAATCTTTTTAAATATTCGAAATGCTTATTTTCATCGATCTGTAAATGAGGTACCCGAAAGCCTTTAATATGCGATTGATGAATTCGAGCATTTTCAACTATATTTAAACGTTGCTGTTTGATTTCGTCGTGCCAATCATCATCGGTCCAATGATGCCAATTACTTTCATTGTAACAATTGTTTAGTGGACATCTTGAACAGAGAAAATTACTCGTTGGAAAATAATTTCAATGATTTTACTTATTGCTCGACGTAGTCATTGCTATTTCATTTTGATTATCAAATAGACGTTGGACTAAACAATAGTCTGTATGAACATGATCAATAAAAAATGTTGATGAAATAGGACATTTATTCGGATTTCGATACGTTGAATTTAAAATTGATCGAATTGGATCAAGAGTATCTCTATTTAAATTACCAACGAATGTTAATAAAATCTAAAATTAATTTTAATCATTAGATAACAATGAATTCTTATTATTATAGATCAATATTTACAAATTGAGGTAGTTCAGTAAAAGCCAATGGCATTGGATTATCATTACTCGTTGGGCATAGACAACTTGGTAATAGACATTTATCTTCATTGCAAAATTCACTACGACAAAATACAAATGAAAACACCAAAAAGTATAGAAAATAGAGTAGAAGCATGGAAATGAAATTTATATAGATAAATTCTTTATTTGTCGTTTCTATTTCAATCGTTCGAATGTAAACTGATCCATTATTTACTAGGATATATGTATGCCAAAAACAAAACAAGAGAAAGAGACGAAATAATGTAGAATGAACCATGTTATAAACTTCAATCTTTATTGTCTAAGGAAAAGAAGACTCCATTTCCTTTGTGATTCCAATCGTATTTAATAAAAAAAAGACTTTTTATTTACTTTGAATACAACACAGCTAGAAATAACGAATAGTTTTCAAAAATAGATCGGTTCAAGATTTTCCATACATATATTTGACCTTTCTATAATTCGCTATCGATTGAACTAACAACTATTAACGAAAATTCTTGCTTTTGTTTAAATAACCTACATAAGATTCGTTTTAGTGCTTATTTTTAGTATTTTAACTTCTTTCGATTCGAAGAATTTTAGAGATTTTTAATTTTCTTCCAGTGGCAGCAAGATTTTTCAAAATCTAGATGTCCCCATTTTCCGGAAGGTCCAATCATTATTTCGATTGGTCGAATATCATCATGTAATTTCTCTTTTTCAGCAGAACAATAATTGCAGATTTGATCATTCTTTTTCATTTTCTGTAAAATCAATTGGATCAACCATGGGTAAAAAACAACATCAATCGGACAAACTTTATCTAACAACAACCGTAAATTTTAGTTTTTGAAAAATATTTTTATTTGTTTTTTTTTCATTCAGGAATGGAAAAATTCGTTTGGTGGTTTCAAAGGTACAACAAAGTCTAACGCCGATTTCCGTCGTTTGCCATTCAACTGTTGTAGTATTTCATTTCTACCAGTTGAGAATCCATACTGTACACCTAATGGTATCATCTTTGATCTTGCTTCTATTGTTCCATTTCTAAAAAAATTCGGTAAAACATTTGTTTAAAAAACAAACGAACTTTCATCTTTTTCTCTTTCGTAATTAGGTCGCAATCCTGTCACTGGTGAAAAACTCGAAGCAAAACAATTAATCAAATTAAATTTTCATAAAAATGCTAAAGACGAAATTCATTGTCCAATTACATTCAAAGTTCTTACAGAGAGTTCATACATTGTTGCCATTCGACCATCGGGAAATGTTTATAGTTATGATGCCATCGAACGTTTAAATATAAAAACAAATACATTCAATGATTTATTAACAAATGAACCATTTAAACGTGATGATATCATAACAATACAAGATCCGAAAGACTTAGATAAATTTAATATTCAAAAATTTGCACACTTAAAAAATGAATGGAAATTAGATGACGAAGACGAAAAAGCACGTCGAACAGATCCAAATTATTTTCTTAAATCGATTAATCACGAAACAGCTGCAACACTTGAACAAATGAAAACTACAAAATTACCTGAGTTTGTTGAAAAATCTGAAACAAGTATTTATTCAAATAAACAAATTAGAACAAATCAACAAAAATTAGATGAAACAAATATGGCAACATATTCAACAGGACGTTTATCTTCATCATTTACATCGACATCAATGGATCCAGTAACAGTTATGGAAGCAGCTGTACGAGATGAAAATGAAATTCGTTATACAAGAATTAAGAATAGTAAAAAGAAAGGTTACGCACGTTTAGTCACAAATGTGGGTGTCATTAATATTGAACTTGATTGTGATTTGTGTCCACAAACATGTGAAAATTTTATTAAACATTGTGCAAATAAATATTATGTTGGAAGTCTATTTCATCGATCAATTAAAAATTTTATCGTAAGTTCTTTATTTAAATGTAGGAATAGGGGAAATCACTTGTCAGCTGATACTTAGACTAACCAGGTAAACAGAAGGAATGATGAAGGTAAGAGTCATACAGACGCTTTCAGATCAGGTGATAATTCTCTCGATGATAATTTAGTTTACAAACAAAGTATTCAAAATGATTGTACTATTCACATTGTCACTGAAGTATTTAATTCAGCAAAGCACTTTATTCGAAGAAAGATATTCATTTTTTGTGATCATTAATATTATCTACGCAAGAATTCTATAACAGAAGATTTTTGTAGAGCTCACCCTGTCTAGTACGACAAATAAATGCAGGATTTAAAACAAAATTCCAGATAATATTATTTAGTATTCTATCATGAAGCATTGATATTTATTCTTAGGTACAAGGTGGCGATCCAACTGGAACAGGTTCTGGTGGAAAATCCATATGGAATAAACCATTTCGAGATGAATGTAATTCAAAATTACAACACACTGGACGAGGAATGTTAAGCATGGCTAATTCAGGGCCAAATACAAATAAATCTCAATTGTAATAAAGTTCAAAAACTATTTTCAATATCAACAATCACTTTTGTCTTCTTTATTTAGCTTTTTTACTTATCGTTCATGCAAAGGACTTAATGGTAAACATACAGTGTTCGGAAGGTAAATCAAAAATTTAATAATAAATTTTCTTGATTATGCATCTTCATAGAATTGTCGGTGGTATTGAAACACTGAGTGCAATGGAAGCCATACCAACCGATAATAAAGATCGGCCACAAGTAAGAATAAGTTTTTTTTTTAAATAAAAATGAATCATTGCATATATTCTTTGCAGTCTGATATTGTAATTGAAGATACAATTGTATTTGTGAATCCGTATGATGAAGTTGATGCAGAAGTAATTTTTATTTTTAAATTAATACGTATTTGATTATATACAAACTCGAGCGTTTTTAGTTAAAAGCTGAACGTGAACGACAAGAGAAACGAGAAGTTGAAGAAGAAAAAGCAACGGGAACAATTCGCTCAGTAAAATCAACAAAATATTCAACTGCAAATGATACTACATCGACGAGTCAAATATTTCGATCGGGTGTTGGAAAATATATACCAAATCAAGTCTAGTATGTTTTTCCTATTTCGATTCGACTTTCTATTTGTTTTTATTTTTTGTCTAGTACAAATGCTAAAAAAGTTGCAGCAACTACTGATGAAGATAATGAATATTCACAAAAGAAAAAAAGAAAATTAGCTTCTACTAGTTCAGGCGGAACGTTGAATTTTAATCAATGGTGATGAAACTTGGCACATTTCTTTTTGTTCCTGTTGTACTGTAATAAAAATACGTTTTCTGTATTTTTTGCTTTCGAATATATAGCGTTCGTCAATGTATTTCGTGAATTTACTTTCATAACTATATGATATATTTCAGAGTTGTATTATTATTTTCTGAATACCTATGGCTAGCATAGCCAACAACATTCAAGTAAGAATATTCTTTTTGTTGTATTTAATTAGTATTCTTTTTGTCATTGATAGAAAATTGTTCGTCATCATATTCCGTTGATTCGGTTTAAATATGGCAAGAATCAATCCGGTATATCATTTTTTTTTCTGTAAATATATTTGACAAAATAATAAAAATAGGTGCAACGTCTCATGGGCTACAAGAAAGTAAAACTAATGTGAATGTGACTCACAGCATTGGTGCTCCATCAAAATCTAAAACTGGTCATAAATCCGATCCTTTGGAATTTTCTGAAACACCTAAAAAATATCGACGACGCCCATTAACTCAAGATGAAATTGATCTCGTTGCTGTAAATAAATACTTATTTTAAATTTATTTTGTTTTTAAAGAGAATATACTTTCTCTCCTAGGTTGGTGGATTTAACTAGCCGACATGCGTTTAGCGATACATATCAAGTAGCATAGGCAATCTTCCTTTATTCTATATTAGTGTGTGCTCTATTTTTTTTTTCGCTTCCACAATAAAAATACAAAATCTATCGAAACCGAGGTCGATATTTTCCACCTTCTTTATCGTTCGATTCCATATCGAATACAGTGAATGCACGTGTCATACTTTCGACTGGTGTCCAATTCTCTAATTGAATAACTTCTTCAACAATTTGATTATTTTCGCGTCTACGCTCTTTTTCTTCGAATTCATTTTCATCAGTAACTGGAATTTTTTCGTTTGTCATTGGGACAAATCTACTTTTGGGTCCATGTCGTTTTTTTAAACGTCCAAAATTTACGGCAGGTAACGTACAGCCAAATTTATAGAAATTAGGTGATAATTCAACTCCACGATAACTTTTATCGCCTTCTGATCGTTTTTGAAGACCATTACGCGGATCAATAACTTTTCGCTTATGTCCCATTGTTTCCATATGAACGTTTTCATCGCCTAGATCTTCTAATGAACGAAGATATACATTCGCGAAAAAGTTTCGTTTCGCTGGACGATGATCTGCCGATTCATCATTGAAATAAATCCATTCGTTGTTTGTACGTTGCCAATTTTGAGGATACGGACGCATAAAATGTATGTTTTGTTCGATAATGCCGACGGGTAACGTAGGTTTAGCATTTGGATGACGTGGAGATTTAATAGGACGTATACTAGACTTCCAATCAGGTCCAAAACTGTAAAAATCAAATTTTACATATGAGATAAACAAGATCAAATAATTCGATTACTAAATCTTTACTTTGAATAAGCTGGCTCTATATGTTGTCCATGCGGACGCCAGTGTTCATCTTCCAATGGAGGAGAAGGAATATGTGCACGGCCTCTTGGCTTATAGACAGGTTCGGTTAAAGTAAAACGATGCTTCTCAGGATAATGTCGACGATCATATACTAAGTACAATAAAACAGAAGAATTCGAGACATATTAAATTTAGTTTTATTTACCGTGATAGCCAGGTTTTTCTATATCGTAATGCAAATGTAACGTTGCCGGATTTGCGTAAGCCATTATATTACTCTGTATGATGTTAAATGATTTGTTGTGTTTCTATTATTGTTTTGTTGTCGTCGGTAAGGTGTCCATTAACTGCATTTACAAAGGAGAAAAATAAAAAGAAGTTTTTTTTAATATTTTCTTTTACTTTGCAAATAGTGCAAATAGAATGTGCAATAATGATTGATTTCTTCTCGTTCTCTTTATCATAATGGATTTGTGCATCCGGCCATTATAATATACAAGTTTTCTTTTTATCGGATGTTTATTCAAAATTAAAGTTATGGATTCATTCCATTGAGTAACCAAGTAGAGACATTTTCAAGAAAGAAACGTTTTGTATTATATACTTAATGGATGCCTTAAAATTCATATTTTGATAGGATTATATTGTCATTTTTGAACTTTTTTCTTTGAATATTTCGTTTCTTTTACGAGAGAAAGCGTTTTGTTCGAATGCTTTATGTTCGATTAATCAAAATGAAAATTTATTATGAATCTTTATATTGTATTTCAAATGTTTTCATTAGTCAAAATTTTGAATAAACATTTTTTTGTGGACCCTACTCCTCGTCTATTTTATGCATGAATTACAAGTGCGAACGTTATGAATGTAAACAATGTCAATTGAGATATGTAGTTCGAAAAGACAATATTACTGTAGGCTGGTTGAAAAATATTCATAAAATTTTATTTTCAAATCTCGTGAATATATAATTTAGTTAAATTTTAGAAGCAAGTCTCACACGTAATTTTCTATAAATCAAATGAAATACACGTCGTCATAAAAGTTAACATGTACACAAATGTGCAAGATTCGTTATAAGGCTTCAGTCAGTTTATATTTGTAATCACTACATATTGTTGAGTAGAATAAATAAGGCCTAACAATGTTTAGACAAAAAAACAATTGTTCAGTGAATTTGCATAGACTTGAAGCATGCTTAAAGTTTTGATTTACAGTGATCGTTTATTTTATCAATCTATTGTAAACGGCCAACAAATAGTTTAGTCTTGTCAGAATCTTGTTTTGCAGTTTATTAGTGACACGTTCGAAGATTTCAAAAATTCTTCGAACGAGATTTAATGCTTACAGAGAATGGTGTTGGTCTATTATTATGTTCTTTTTTAGAACTGCATAATATATAAAGTATTGCAATAGAATGCAGAAACGCTATGGAAGATGCATCGTATTCAATAGTGCATCGCAAAAATATCAATATTTGATTCAATAAAGAAAAATGAATCGAGTCTTCACTAAATCGAGTGTTTCGAGGGCGAAAAAAACATCGTAACATCGGTGTCAAACAGAATGTGATCGTTGTGTACGTCTCTGGATCAGTTCAAATATTTATCTCCGTTCTAACCTGATTTTCAATGCACTCTTGAAAATGATTTTTTGTTGAAAACAAATAGTTCATTTTCTAAACACGCACACAATTGTACTGCTAACGGTCGACCAAAAATCTATTAAGTCAAAAGCTAAGATTTTCAATTGAATGTTTTGAATTCTATTTAGATTTTTGTCAATAATGATAGAGCTGTTTGAATAAATGCGCAGCATTCTTTGGCTTTAAAAACGTTTTAGAATCATTTTCTTCTTCTTCTTCTTCTTATTTTCAACTATTAGATTATATAGTACATTCGACACCAAGTGATGATTAGAGTAAATCAAGTTTGAAACATGTTATTATCTTATCACACTATGAAACAAGGTAAGATGAATCAATAGTATTTGTACTATATGAAAGATAGAATTTCTTTCAGTATTTTATTTAGATTTCCATTCTTGACATTTTTTCTTTGATATGATTTATTTTCGCAAGTAAACGAATAGAAAATTCTAAATGACAAAAGTAAGTTTTATTTAATAGAATGATAATATAAATAGTACTAATTCTATTTAGAGATCGATTGCTCATGAAAATCCTGCATTTGTATTGGATCTACTATCATACACAATCGACAGTAGAGATGGAATGATAGTAGCAACGAAATTAGACGAGATAGAAAAACAAGAAAGCGACAATGATGATGATGATGATGATGATGATGATGATGATAAAAATAATGTAGGCTTTGAAAAATTATCTGAAAAATGTGATCCTATTGGTTTATTTGTATTGAAAATTCGGCAAAAAATAGTTCAAATAGTTGAAAAAGAAAAAGTAAGAAAATTATATTTTCTATTGATTTGTCAAGCTATGGATTTTTAATAGGATGCAACAACGTTTGCAGTAAAACTAATATTTATTATTGGTTTAATAATCTATTTTGGATTTGCGATGAGTTCAAAATATGGCAAACCTGCTTTTCCTATTGATGGAAGTGTTTTTCATGGAAATTCTGGTAATAATTTAATGTTAAGAGTAAACTTCTTTGATCTAAGATATTCATTTAGGTTTTGCTTTATTCTTTTTGGTAATATTCACGATATTTGTTGTTGCATGGGAAAAATTTCTTGGTCGTTATATAGACCATTTAGTTGAATCTATTTCAATATCAACCGAACAGAATGAACCATGGCTTACAATACGCAGTATTATGCATAGATTTTCTTGGTAATATTATATCAAATTTGAAGAAGAATATTACATTATCTGTAGCTTAGGCTTCTTAGTAGTAGAATTGAGATGGAGATCTTCATTGTTGCAGTTGACTTTTTGTTTTATAAACTTGCAAAAAAGCTAAAAACGCGTTGTTCGACCGTGAATGAACCATGTAACTTTTTCCATATAAGAGCAGATGTCTGAAAATATGATAATATAGTCTCAGTTCTGCTAATCACTATAGATTTTTCAAGTTTCCGTCCTGTTGAAAATGATTTTATATTTCAACAACTTCTTTATTGATATTCGTCATTTTATTGGTAGGGTTGGTCATCTCTTAGTTTTTTTTGCTATTGCTCTATATGTTGGATTAACAGTAAATCGAGCTCGAAATTACGTTTCACTGATTGGTATTTTCACGTTAGTTTTACTTGGCACCATCGGTATGTAAATAGATTCTAATCGTAAAACTTTAATAATGTGTGCATTGGTTTAATTAGGTTCCAAACATCCTCATCGAGTAGGTAGAAGAGCAGTATCAACTGTCAAAATAAAACATAATAAAAATTTAGATCCGATGGGCAACAATATTTTATTCGTTTGTTATTCAATTTGCGTTGGCTGCTGTTGTCATACGTCTTGAATTTGGTTTTCAATTTTTTGATTTTCTGGGAAAAGTAGTGTCACAATTCATGCAGTAGTTTATGGATGATATAATCTACTATGAATTAAACATTTGTTTTTGTACTTTGTTTAGTAATGCTGATAGTGGAGCCGTCTTCGTTTTTGGAAAAGCTTACGAAGAACATTTTTTCGTATTTAAAGTATGTCTCATCTAGGAGCCGAGTATTTTCTATAGATTTGCATCACTCTTTGTTTCCTTGATACAAACATTTAATCGAGATATAGTCATTTAGTTTAGGATTTGGATATAAATTTTAAGAGATCGAAGGTTAAAACCTTAGCGCACAATCAACTATTCAGATAGTCCTCTGTAAATGAACTTGAGGGTGTGTTTTTCGTCCATATTAGATCACTTCGATAATTATATTTCTTGGGTCTGTAATTAATGCTTTGTATTATTTGGGTGTTATGCAATATATTATCGGAAAAATTGCATGGCTTATGCAAAAATGTTTAAATACTACAGCAGCTGAGGTAAATGTTTTGTTGCCTTTTATTTAAAGAAAATAAATTATAAATATCTAGTCGATGAATGCAGCTGCTAATATATTTGTTGGGATAAGTGAAGCACCACTAGTGATTATGCCATTAATACCTAGGATGACAACATCAGAACTTCACGCTGTATTAGTTGGTGGTTTTTCGACCATGTCAGGTTTTTGAAATAAATGCACGCTCGATGGTTTTTCTCTTGTTGCATATTTTCGATTACTTTAGGATCTATTCTTGCCACGTTCATTTTCTTTGGCGTTCCAGCAAATCATTTAATTGCTGCTAGTGTTATGGCAGCACCAGGTGCACTTGGCTTTGCCAAACTTTTATTACCGGAAACACATCATTCGAAAACAACATGGGAAACAGTGGAAAATGTTCCGAGGCCGTATGTGCTAATTACTAAAAAAATTAAATTAAATTTATTAGTAGAACTCGGAATTTGATATGGATAAAATAGAGTAGCCAACTATTTCATTACTTTTGAGTCAGCCTATATGAATTAGATAGATCCTAATGAGCTTTGCCTATTCAGGAAAAAACAAATTTCGATGTCGATGCCTATCTTCTCGTACATAATTATATACGCATCGGAACTCTTGAAATAGTTAAACATTGATTGTTTTTAGTGAACAACATAATGTCATTGATGCCATACTAACTGGTGCAGGAAATGCTTTGAAGGTTTGTGGCTATTTAATTGCTAATTTAATAGCATTTATCAGCGTTCTTCATTTTGCTGATGCAACTATCTCATGGTTGTTTGGTCTTATTCATCATCCGGAAATAAACTTTCAATCTTTACTTGGCTTAGTATTTTATCCATTTTCAGTGGTTATTGGTATTCCATTTCGTGATTGTCTTTTGTCATCGAAACTTATTGGAATAAAAATTAGTTTGAATGAAGTAAGAATTCGTCATTTTATTAATTATTCTTTAACTTCCTTGTTCTTTTCGATGGATAGTTTATTGCTTATCAAGAACTCGGTAAAATACGTAAATTACGTAATGAACTTATATTAAATAATACGTTTCCATTATATTTAAATGGTACATTAAAATTACCGAGTGATACTCCAATGCTATGGGAGGTAAATATATTTATACATTCATACTAATTAGTTTGTTTGTTGAAGAAAGCAGCAAGTTTTTCTTTCTTATAGGATTGTTCAACGATTATTTTAACATATGCTTTATGTGGTAAATTTTTACGTGCTTTATTGATGTTTATCGAGAGGGATTTTGCTAATAGGATTTTCTAATTTTGGTGCGATGGGTATTGCACTGGCGATTATGGGAGTTATGGCTCCTACACGAAAACGAACTTTAACAAAAGTTGCACCACGAGCTTTGATTGCTGGTTGTATGGTTTCATTAATGACGGCATCGATTGCTGGTACTGATTTGAGAAAATGTTTCTTTCTTTGTATCATCATTTTATTTTTAGGTCTACTCTACGATCCTTATCATGAAACAGTGCAAATATTAAATTCGAATTATACACTTCTATAGATTTAACATTTTCTGGCTATTATATTTGATTCATTATTGTCTTTTACTGGATTATCAATAGGATTATTAATTTGATTTAGTAATAGATAAAAACGATCTTTTGTTGAAGTTACGATTGCAAATGCTTCCTCATAGGTTTTTTGATAAAACTCATCGTAGTAACCTTTATTCATAATAAGCCGGCGGGTTCAAAGATGAAAATAATTCTGATTGAACTTTTTTGATAAGATAATTCATTTTGGGTGAAATTGAATTTGAATGCAAGACCATAACATATAGGTGTTTGTCATGTTGTTCTACATATTAATGACAAAATATCAAACAAAAACACACATTGTGTTCATTCGCAAGAACACCGGTTAAAATTATGGTTGAATTTCTATGGGAAAGTTTGCACAGGAGCAAACGCTTTCTCAGACATATAGTCGTATTGGGATCTATTCATTGTTTCTATCTTACAGTATCAACTTGGTGAACGCGAGTATGTCTGCAAATTGAATATTATCATTCGAGAATTAGAGAAAATCAAAAGATCCGAAACTCGTATAATAAACTATTCTTGTTGGCAGCTTTCATTGAGCATAGGTTTAAATGGAACCCGGACAAGGATTATTCTTGAAGGAAACGATCGCTATGAAATCAGAGTACTTTTTAGGGTAATTATAGAGATGATTGTGTTCTACAAAATTTCCATAGTTGCCAATCGAAATCGATTCGCTATCCACTTAAGTCTTCTTTCGTAAGCCATTTGTTAAACTCATTCTTATTGTTTTTTTAAATTTTCTATTATACATTATCTAGTAAATAATATTATCTTGCGGAAAATGTATTTTAAGAATTTTCTTCTGTCGGTTATTATTCATTCCAGCTGTTTGTATTCATCGTATTTGTCATGTACCGTGATTTCTTATTGCTAAAAACAACATGAAACGTGGCATAGAAGATGAATACTTACATTTTTTTTTTCTTATACCGTCATGATGAATCATTCGGTAAGAGTAATTGCTCAATCGCAACGCAAAACATTCTTCAATGAGAGTAAAAGCAACGATGTAGTATGCAGGAAAGAAGAAGAGAAAAAAAAATGGCAATATTTACTCATATAAATAGAAAAAAGTAGAATGACAAAACATTAGGTGAAAAACCGCGAACAATATGGTTTTATTACGTAAAATAAAGAGAGGACGTCGTTCAATTGTGTGGAAATTTAATGGTGACGCTCAATATATCGACGGGCCACGTTTAGCAGTTGTATGGCCATGCATCAATCGAATTCAACCATTATATATGCATCAAGCTAATGACATGCAATTTTTAGAAGTAAATTATCTTGATGGAACAACAGAGGTCAAACCTGGCCCAGTAGCATTATCTGATGATCCATTAAAAATTTTATCAATTTTTACAAAAGATCTGATCAAGCTTGATGCAAACGAATTACTAGTCTTATATACACAAAAAGAAAATGAAACAAAACAAGGTAAACAATTTAGTTTTGTTCAATAGTATACGACCTTTATATGTTTAGATGCATTATCGGTTCGTAATATTATTAAAGGTCCAACACTCTATTGTCCAAAACCAAACGAATGGATTCACGAATTTACTTGGCACGGCGAAGATGGTGCACATAAAACTCGTATAATACCTGGCGCAAAAGTATTTCAAAAACTTCGTCTTATTCCTGATCAATTCTATTATAATATAACTGATGTGCGAACATCCGATGATGCTTTAATAACTGTTAAATTAATGGTATTTTACGAATTATTCGATGTTGAAACCATGTTAAATAATACACATGATCCAATAGCAGATTTTGTAAGAGAAATTTTATGTTATTTATTTTATTTTTTATTAAATCAACTATAGATCAATGCTATATGTGCCGATATAATTGCATTTGCATCTGTACGAAAATATGAAACATTTCTTGAGAATGCTAATCAATTAAATCAATTAGAAGCTTATCCACAATTGGTAACAAGATCCGAAACAGTTGGATATAAAATCAATAAAGTTGTTTTTCGTGGTTATCAAGCATCGGAAAAACTTCAAGTAGGATTACATTTTTTTGATTTTGATTTATTTATTTTATTTTCGATAATGAATTTAGTTAATGAATGATAATGCTATTGAAAAGCGAACTAAATTAAGATTAGAAGAAGAATCTGAACGTCAATTACAAATATTGGAAGATTTGAAATTAGAAAAACGTTTCGAACGGTCACAAAAAGGTAAATTCTCTATAATTAGAATGGTTGAGAAAAGCATTTTTAATTCAATTCGGATTAGAGATGTGCAGGACCGCATTTTTTCGGTCCTGGCTTTTTAAATCTCTAGTTCGGATAGAATCGAATATGTCGAAGAGAAAATCTTCTAATTTGATCCGATGAGCTCTGTTCAATCATAATCAAAAGATTAAAAAAACGAAAAAGAACTCCATTTTTATTCTACACTCCTAGTAGATTATATAAAATGTTGCTTGATTAATTTTCTTTTTCTAATTATTTTCTTAATCAAGAACGAAAAATGGAACTTGACCAAATGTTACATAAGCTTGACATGACCAAACAACAACATGCCAGTCAATTGCAAAATAGAGAAGCTGACAACCAAATGCACCTACAACATCAACAATTATTACATGATGATGAAATCAAATTTTATCAACGTTTGAAAGAGCTTGGCACAGATATTACACAAATTATGGTAGCACAACAACGAAACCCGGATAAATTAATACAAATTATGAATGAGAAAGACAAGAGAACATCACCGAATATTCAATTTGTAGATAATATTTGAACGTATTAATTAATAAAAATATCTATCTTTAAATGCATGGCGATAGATTTTATTATGATCTATTGGAATATGAAGATAAAGGAAGTTCATTGTCCTCATCACTATTTTATTTTCTATATATTTACTAAAAACTTTTTGAATGTTGTAAAGACATTTTATAGTGATCTGTTCCTTGACTAAGATATTGTAACTAAAATTAGACTCAAACTTTAAAATGTCTTGATATGTTTTTCAACTTGTTTTTATTGTATTTCAACTTTTTCTATTTTATCATATTAACTAAAAACGCAGAAAATCATAATAAAGACTTCATGAAGTTATAATGAATCATGGTGCTTGTCTGTGATTAATCTGATATTAATACATCATAAATAGAGGGAAAAAATTCGTATTATCATAAAACAGTTATTGGTCATGTAATTCATGTATACAAGTCTTTTTTGTAGCAAGCAAGAGTAAGTAAAAGAAGCGCATAACAATTTTTATATCCCATATGTAAGTTATATTTATACAGAATAGATACAAAGGAGAAAAACAAGAATTAAGAATAATTTATACCCATCCATATATAGAAAATAAAGTTAACAACTATCAAGTTTATCATGAACACACAGGAAATACCGACCATGTTCCTGTAGAAAGACATGTAACGTTGAGAGAACCAGACAACGGATTCCGAGTAAAACCAGATGCACATTGAAGTAGAATCCAACCACCGGCAAGAAAGCCTCCGTTACCAGCTTGAAGTGAGTTTAACACCAATTGAACATTAACAAGTGCTGATTGCAGTTGACTGGCTGAACAAGAAGGACTCACTGAAATACGAATTTAATCCTCTAAGTTCAAAAGATGATTTTGGCATCCATGACTTACATGCACAAACTGGAAGCGGATCCCATACACCATTCAGACAAGACACTAAGCTTTGGCCTGAAGTACTAGTAAATGCATATCCAGGGTTGCATGCAAATTGAATTTTTCTTTGGTATTGGTTATTAATAAATTGAATAGGAGTTGCCATCGATATGTAACTATTCGCTACGTTTGGAACATAATCACAATTAGATGAATGCTTGACAGTCGTGGCACTATTTGCTAGAAAATTTAAAATAATAAAATAAATCGAATTCTGTACTAGCTATTTTCACAAATTACCAAGACACACAGGCTGTGCTGACCAAACGCCATTATTACAAGTCATTACTGAATTGCCAACAAGATTATACGGTGGTGTACACATATAAGTAATGGAAGCTCCCGATAGCGCTTGAATAGCAGTAGGTGTCATAACACCAGTCCAACTGCTTGCATAACCATTTGCTATACTCAAGAGACTTGAGCTGTACGTGCAAGTTGCTCCACTATTAGAAGGCACAATTGTCGTCTGCGTATTTGGCACACAATTAGGATATTGACTCCATGCACCACTTGAAGAACACGTTACATTCAAGTTGCCGCCAGTATTTGTGTAACCAGTGATACAAGCGAACACAATATAAGAGTCACTCAGAATGACGCTTGTGTTTTGCGGAAGCTGCATCAGTTGACTCTGACCAGTAGCCATTATACCAGTTGCATTCGATACGAAGCTTTGCAATGTTGAAAACGAACACCCACCAGTTGCTTGAATGCGACATATACGCAAATAAATATACTTATACATCTGAACTACTTCACTTACTTAAGCAGCGTGGTTTAGTCGACCAGACACCATTATTACAGACGTATAGATTACCAACAGTTGAATCGAGTGCATAACCAGGCAAGCACGCAAATTGAACCCATCCTGTAACATATTTAATAAGATTTTCTGAAATATAAATGTAATACGATTACCCGTTGCCGTGTTGCTCGATGTATACGTTAGTGATACATTAAATACATATCCATTCATAATATTTAATGTTGTAGTGTCGAAAGCACAAGACAGACCATTATTATTAGGCATTGTAGTAGTAGTAAGAGATCCACCACCACCGGTATTCAATACGCAAGTAGGAAATGGGCTCCATGAACTACTTGAAGAACACGTTACATTTAAGCTGCCGCCAGTATTTGTGTAACCAGTGATACAAGCGAACACAATATAAGAGCCACTCAGAATGACGCTTGTGTTTTGCGCAAGCTGCATCAGTTGACTTTGACCGGTAGCCATTAAACCAGTTGCATTCGATACGAAGCTTTGCAACGTTAAAAACGAGCATCCACCAATTGCTTGAATAGGACATATACGCAAATAAATATACTTACACATCTGAACTACTTCACTTACTTAAGCAGCGTGGTTTAGTCGACCAGACACCATTATTACAAATGTATAGATTACCAACAGCTGCATCGAGCGCATAACCAGGCACGCACGCAAATTGAACCCATCCTGTAACATATTTAATAAGATTTCCTGAAATATAAATGTAATACGATTACCCGTTGCCGTGTTGCTCGATGTATACGATAGTGATACATTGGGAGAATATCCATTCATAATATTTAATGTTGTACCGTCGAAAGCACAAGGCAGGCCATTATTATTAGACATTGTGGTAGTGGTTGTAAGTGATCCGCCTCCAGTATTCAGTACGCAACTAGGAAATGGGCTCCATGTATTATTTGAAGAACATGTTACATTCAAGCTGCCACCAATATTTGTGTAACCACTCATGCAAGTGAACACAGCATAGGAGCCATTCAAAACGTAGCTTGTGTTTTGCGGAGTCTGGATCAGTTGACTTGGACCAGTATTTATTAAACCAGTTGCATTCAATATGAAGCTTTGGAATGTTGACAACGAGCATCCACCAGTTGCTTGAATAGGGCATATACGCAAATAAGTATACTTATACATCTGAACTACTCCACTTACTTAAGCAACGTGGTTTAGTCGACCAGACACCATTATTACAAACGTATAGATTGCCAACAGTTGAATCGAGCGCATAACCAGGCACGCAAGCGAATTGAAGCCAGCCTGTAACGTATTTAAAAAGATTTCCTGAAATGTGAATGTATTATGATTACCCGTTGCAGTGTTGCTCGATGTATACGTTAGTGATATATTAAATAGATATCCATTCATAATATTTAATGTTGTACCGTCGAAAGCACAAGGCAGGCCATTATTATTAGACATTGTAGTAGTAGTAAGAGATCCACCACCGCCAGTATTCAAGACGCAAGTGGGAAATGGACTCCATGAACTACTTGAAGAACATGTTACATTTAAGCTTCCACCAGTATTTGTGTAACCAGTGTTACAAGCGAACACAATATAAGAGCCACCCAGAACGACACTTGTATTTTGCGGAAGCTGCATCAGTTGACTTTGACCAGTAGTCATTAAACCAGTTGCATTCGATATGAAGGTTTGTAAGGTCGAAAACGAACATCGACCAGTCACTTAGCAAAATTAATAAACAAAAGAATTTGAACATCCACAAACTACTGAATGTGATAAAAGCTAAGCCGCATGGTCTTTTATAAATATTCGCAAAGAAAGAAAAAATTAATAGGTCTCCTTGAAAAAATTAGCGTATATCAGACAAGTGTTTCCAATGTGTTAGATGAATCACTACTTCTATGTGTTAATGGGTGTCTCTTTAAAAATAGAATTAATGGTGCCTTGTTCTGACATCAGTACTGACAGTGTCGTGATAAATGTCTTTTATTGGATAGAAAAAACAACGAAATAAGAATCGAGGAAAAGAGCATTAAAATTATTGACAAACACCAGATGGCAGGTGGTAGTCAAGAGCATAATTCGAAAAATAATATCTTATTTTTCATGTTAGGAATCGCTGTCATTATACGAGAGAAATGTATATTTGGTCATCCTACTTCTTCTTCTTCTTTTTCAGAAGAGAATATTTTTGTAAAAGCTTTGAAGTCAGACAATCACCTTAAGGTTTCATACATTCTTTTGTACTACATTTGGAAACGAACCGGACGACTGTTCCCCTATTTTCAAGTTTAGTTTCGAAACTGTTTCACTTTGACTCAATATCTCGAAAAAGGGTTTTTTAGAAATATTATGCGAAAATTCGTTTCGAAAAATAGGGAAACCGAGTCGGAAACTGCAGAACAACCAACAACAACCAGGGATAATGCCAGACACAAAATTAAACTTATAATAATAATAATAATAATCACATCAGTTTCTTTTATTTAAGTTTTCTTATCTTTCGTACCAAGGATTATCTTACGATAAAATAAAATCCATGGTTTCTAGATGTTTCAGTTCTCTCCTAATTAAAACTAAGACGACATTTAGAATCTTTAACTTGGCTAAATCATTGAACTTTCTAAAAATGGCATGATACTTTTACTTTTTAGTTTTTGATTTAGTATCACACATTCGATGGACACCAAAAGTAGACTTACTCAGGCATCGTGGTTGAGTAGACCAGGCCCCATTGCTGCAAACGTATAAACTACCAACCGTTGGATCAAGTGCATAGCCAGGCAGACATGCAAATTGAACCCATCCTATAACATATTCAATAGGATTATTTCGAAGCATCAATGTCATATGCTTACCAGCTGCCGTGTTATTCGATGTATATAGTATTGACGCGTTAGAAGAATATCCATTCGTAATATTTAACATTGTAGTATTGAAAGTACAAGATTGACCATTATTATTAGACATTGTAGGAGTAGTAAGCGATCCACCGCCACCAGTATTCAATACGCAATTGGGAAATGGGCTCCATGAACCACTTGAAGAACATGTAACATTCAAGTTGCCCCCAATATTGGTGTAACCGGTTGCACATGCAAATTGAACCCATCCTGTAACATATTTAATAAGATTTTCTGAAATGTGAATGTAATATGATTACCCGTTGCCGTGTTGCTTGATATATACGATAGTAATACATTAGATAGATATCCATTATTAATATTAAACATCGTTTGGTTGAATACACAAGGTACATTATTATTTGAAAGCAACGTATTATTATTCATTGTACTACTGGTGCTCATCATAGTACACGTCGGAAATGTTGTCCATGCATTGCCGATACATGTTATATTAAGCTGACCACTTGATAGGGTATATCCACTGTTACATGCCAACAGTACATAGGATCCAGGTGTTATATTACTATAATCCGTTGGATCCTGTACTAAACTATATGTACCACTGATAGAAATCGTCTGTGCAACTGTTGTATTCTCGATGAAAGCAAATAATGGCCTTGAAGGACATGCACCTTTTTTTCAATAAAAAAATGATTTATTTTTTCAAAGGAAAAGGAATATTATAATTATTACCATAGCATACTATAAACAAGGTTGTAAAAAACGTAGATAAACGAAACAAATACATGTTTCGAAAATAGAAAAATATTCAAACAAAATACTAGTTTCGATATCCTCTGATATATATATACTAAAGATAAAAATGAGTAACTACGCAAACCTGAAGCAATCATTTCATCGCAGAAGTGCACAAGTGTTTATAATGGCCATTATTTCTTTTCGACGAGAATGCAACTTACACGCGGGAGACTGAAAAACGATATTGAATATCACCCTATTCAGAGAAGAATTACATAAACATTAGATATTTTTAAGGGCAATAATTTAAGTAAAAATTGATATATAAGAGCGGCTTGAAATAGCATGATTTTTTCAATGTAATATAAATTACAATAGAAAAGAAAAATACGTAGATTTTCGACGTTTTGAGGTACAATTAAAATCTCATTATCAAGAATTTATTTGAATAAGTACAAAGTGTAAGAATTACAAGTATAAATATGATGAAAATAACAAGAAAATAGAAAAAGGAAAACAAGATAACAAATACAATACAATTACAAAGCATTAATCATTATCGAAAGGCTTAGGTAGTAACTCTTTCTGTAGTTCATCAGGAAAGACGATTAATGGTACAGAGTGCGTTGTTCGATTGAGTTCTGGTTCATAAGCCTTTATTAATAATGACTCTTTAATGAGTAATCGATAGTAATGGTTATCTTCCATGACAATACGAAAATTATCCCAGTTCATTTGGTGACCTGTTTCGATTTGATTTTGTTGAACTGCAAATGTTATTTCTTTAATGACGGATGAGGTTGTTATAGTTGTTGTTGTAGTCGTCGTTGTTGACTTTGCTTTTAAACGATCAGATCTTCTTAATTCTGCGATGTTATCACTCTGTTCGGTGACATTGTCTCCCTGCTATTGTTGTTGTTGTTGTTGACCTGATGATGACTTTGGTGCACCATGTTCATGTAATCGTTTAACACACTGTCTTTCTGTTTTACCAATGTATGAATGTTGACATTTCGTACATTTGATTGAATAAACGACATCAGATTTCATTTTCTTATCAATAGGATCTTTGGTTTGATATAACATTTGTACAACTGGTGGTGGTGGTTGTTTCATGAAAAATTGGATATCTAGATCTGGTCGAAGTTTGTTGCATAAATGCGTTATTTTATTTCTAAATTCTTTAGTAGCATTTCCTATAAATGGTATTTCAACATACATTGGTCTTTTAACATCAGATCCGTTTGTGATGATTGCATAACATCATTATTCGTTTTTCGATATTCACTTAGTTTAATGCCAATGAGAGTGTCGATAAAAGATGATGTATAACCATTCACTAATCCAATTCGACGTATTTCATTAAATTCAGCAGCTAATGATGTATATGTTGAACATATAATGAGTCAGAGATGTCATAATATCCTAACACTGGGTATCATCGACAAACCAGTCACGATATCCATTCAAGTGGATATCTAAAATGGATACTAAAATGAATACCCATGTTCCTCATAGCTGAGGAATTTGAGTGCATTTGGTGTAACGAGAATGGGTATCCATTTTTACCTGTCTTCAGAACTGAGAAATTGGAGTGCATTTGGTGTAACGAAAACGGGTATCGGAAATGGATACCCTATTGTAAAAATACGTGACTTTATAATTATAAATAAGGAAACGTGATGCTATTTTAAAATTTATTATATTCATGTAGTCAGCTTTATGCCAAAGTTTATCGATATATACAGATTTGTTTAATGAGCCTTGCAGATAGCGTGCAATTCCAAGTAAATGTTCGTTGAAGAAGTTCATTTTTACCTGATACTAATTAACTACCACTTTCATCAAAATCACTCAAGGAAGTCGGGTTGAAACAGTAGCATGCTGTGTAGTTGGTGTTACTGTGGATCGTCAAATGCATGTTATTTGAATTGTGGCTTATCTTAATTTGATTGAAGTAGGACCTGACAGCAGGAAAATTTCGGGTACCCAATCTCGTTACACCAAATGCATTCAAATTTCTCAGCTCTCAGGATACACAAAAATGGATACCCATTCTCGTTACACCAAATGCACTCAAATTCTTCAGCTCTGAGGACGCATAGATAGCCAGCCAACTGGGTATCCTATCTGGGTATTCATTGCGATATACCCAAGTTGTGGATATTATGACATCCCTCTCAACAAGTCGGTATACGCTGGTTTATGATAAATTGTTGTTCCAAGCGATTGACATTCAGTTGATCGAGTAATAAAAACATCAAGGAATTCCAATTTATCACCATCTTCAACCTTGTAAGTAAATGTGATGGACGGATGAAAGTTATTCAGAATGGATAATATGTTATCGATGCAAGTAATTGAATTAACAAGTAAAAAGGTGTCGTCAACATATTGATGCCATTCAGAAACACCTGCATTGATTAAGTCATCCATCAATGTTGTTTCAAGATTGGTCATGAATACGTCGGCTATTATTGGAGCTAAAGGCGCACCCATTGCAACACCATTATGCTGAATATATAATTTATTATTAAATGTGAAATGTGTCTTAGAAGTAGCTATTCGAAGTAGCTGTTCAAAAT